CATTTGTCGCCGTATTTCAGCTAATTTACATAAAAGCATAATAAATTATATACCTAAACCTTCCTCAAGAATTACTCTTTCTATTGTTGAAAACCGTATAAAAATCCGTTCAGTAGTTTTCGAGTTTATCGCGTACAGACAGACAGGAGGACAGAAAGACGCGGCCGGGGGACTTATTTTTATAATAAGTATAGATGGGCAACTCGACCTAAAAAGGAGAAAATAACAAATAAAGAATATTGCGGCAAAATGCCAAAAAATTGATGCGTTTCGCTATCTTCTAATAGTTTACTATTATTGATAACAGCTAGTGTTAAAATATGGATATTACGATACATTATAGCCATAGAAAAATATTAAATTAACATATACATAAATAATAAAATTGTAACTAATCGCTGTCTGTACATGGAAAATATTTGAGAAAAACTATTATTGAGGGTCTTTATCAACGCAACAGAATCCAAAACAATGATTTTTAGAATTTTTGTTTGTCTGTATGTCTCTTTGTCTGTGCGTTTGTGCGCGCAAATCTCAAAAACGGCTTATCCTATTTAGATGCGGTTTTCACTAAATGTTGAGTGAAGGTAACTTAAATACTTAAGTTACCTTCACTCAACATTTAGTATTTGTTTTATTTCAATCGGTTCATAAATAAAAAAGTTATGTTAATTTAATGAATCACCTAGGGACGAACCCGAGCGAAGGGAGGGTGAGTCGCTAGTGCATATATATCTTATATATTTAAACGAGCTATTCTTGTATATATATATATATATCAATATATAATCTGAATCTCGGAAACGGCTCCAACGATTTTCATGAAATTTAGCACGCATGGGGTTTCGGGGGCGATAAATCGATCTAGATTAGTCTTATATCTGGAAAAACGCGAATTTTCGAATTTTCATGCGATTTTCTTTTGCATTTTCACAATTTTTGCATTGTCACTTCTGGTGAGTGGGCGGCGCCACTGTGCAACTGTCAACATCGTGTCCGTATTTACATCAAGTTTAAATATATTTAAGTGAAAATAATCTAAGGAATAAATATAAATTTAAATAATAAAAAAATTTTTTTAAATAAAACCTATGGGCAATAAGTAAACATCACCAAGTCTTGATGTGTTGAAGAACAAATGAGCTTTTAAAAATTCACCTACCAAACTAATATAAAAGTGACAAACATAACTTAAAGATACTATTAGTGCAAAACCATCTTTTCTGTGTGTGATGACAATAAAACAAAATAATTTGTGAAGTGAAAGCGTCAAATATTAAAACATAAGTTTATAACCTCAAAAACTAATACTCGGTATAAAATTGCAATTCAACTTGGTATAATTGGTGCTTTTTTCAATCAGCTTTTCTACTTCCAACTTCACACATAAGATGGAGGACATAAAAAAGTTGCTAATAAACGTGCAACAAGAAATAAGACAGCAGAAAACAGAAATGTTAGAAATGAAAGAAGACATTAAAAATACAATCAACAATAATATACTTAAATGAAAAATTTAAACAGTTAGAAATAAAAATTGAAGTTCTTGAGAAAAAAATCCAGGAACAAAGTACCTCAATAAATAATTTAGAAAGACATATTAGGCGCAAGAACTTTCATGAACTCCTATCATGAACTAGAGGAAAAAATAGTCTTAAACTAAACGGAAATAAAAAAGAAGTCTGCCTGTATCTCCAGAAACGCCTTACCTCAATTATAAACAAAAAAACTAACAAATAAACAACATACAAAGAAAACCATACCTGGTAATATTAAAGACTTAATATTACAAAAACCAAAGTTAACTTTCAACCACACAAATGATAACCAGGAACAACTAAAAACAACACAGCAAGATACAGTATATTAAACACCGTAGGAACCTCCTCATCTTTATCCACCAGTACGGCCGGTCACTGTGGGGGAGTTCAACCGTAACCCTCCAAAGAAAAACAGACATACAATGAACAAAGGTATACATATCTTCACCAGAAAAACTTCTAGAATTAAAAGCAGCATTTCCTACAACAAATCAAAAGAACACAAAGATAAAATTATAAACTTTATAGGCATATTAGAAACAAATTATATATTGAAAACAAAATTTGAAAAGAAACCCTTTGCAATCATACAAGCATAATCTCCAACGGAGAGCTCTATGCAGGACTACTTTGGAGGAGGCTTTTAACCGAGAGGGGTCTATACATGAAAAAGACATTTACTAAATAAATACATTTAATTATGAAATTAAATACCTAATTTATAACTATTGTCAGAATTAATGTGTGGAAAGAAATTTTATTTATATTTATTATTGTGAAATGTTTAGTATTTACTCAATTGAATTATTTAATTTATTGTGATTGTTTATTTATTTATTTGTTAATGATAATTTATATATATACAATATCATTTCAAATAATATGAAGATTTTTAAAATAATTTAATTCCAGATTACAAAATTATTAGTTAAAAAATTATAAGTTAATAAATAGTCACTAAATTATATAATTTTATATTTCAGCAATGTGATATAGACATTTTTTATTATACAACTAAAATGGCTCCTTATATACTCTTAACCAAATAAAATTTTAATGGAATACTTTTATAAAAAGCTGTGCATACTTTTGAATTAAATTTATATACAAATAGGTAAAATTATAATGTTAAATAAATGTTTTTATGTAAATTTAGTTAGTAAGCCTTTAATAATAAATAAATGAATAAATAAATAGAGCTTTATTATTATTATGATTCCTTTTGCATTATTTCAATAAATTAATAATTAATAATTCCACGCAAAATATTATGTTCGATAATTTCGCACTCTCAGATATAAGCATCATGGTCAAGCGGTCAATGCGCAAGTTTGACAACCACAGGTATCTGGGTTCGTATCCCGGTCGGACACAAAGTTTTAATTTTGTTTTTTTTTGTATTTATTCAAATTCTTTGTTTGTTTTTTTTTGGCCAAAAACTCCGAGCAAAGCTCGGTCGCCCAGGTACTATATATATATATATATATATAATAATATATATATATATATATATATATATTAGGGTGTGCCAAAAAATGACGATATTTTTTTTTCTTCGCTCTCACCCCAAAATATCTTAGAAAATGTCCCAACAAAGCACCTGTTAAAAGCAGAGCTCAAAATTCTAATTCTAAGAGATTCTCCATCGAACTTTAAGTTTTCCCATACAAATTGTATGGAAAATATGATTTTTAACACTTTTTTGTCCTGCAAACTAGGACGAAAATATTTTTAGAAAAAATGAATAAATGGACCGTTTTTACTATTAAATTTACTACAAAAAGTTCCATTGAGTCGAATTTCTATCTTCAATATTTTATTTGTTATATATGGTTTTTTGCATTTTTTAGCTAAACTGTAAGAGTTACAGAAAAATGTTAAATAGCAAATTTGTTGTACGTTTAAAATCCTATAAAAAAGTCCTTGTCAACTTTTTCATATCATCAATAACAACAAAGTTACAGGCTCACGAATATTTATTTTTTCAAATTTATGCTCTTACGTTCTTGCTCTTACGGTCTTGCCTAAGTTACACCTTATAACATCAACTACCTGCCAGTGAAAGTCCCGTCAAAATCGGCCCAGCCGTTTCGGAGATTAGCCGGAACAGACAGATAAAAATTTTTAAAAATTGTGTTTTTCTTATAAATACCGTATATAATTCGATTCTGTATTTTTGAAAATAATAATATTAACAGCATTTTTTATAAAAAAAAAGCTTACCTGAAAAATGCAAAAAAGGACAGTTTTATCGAATTAATCTATAGGGTCTATGGAATGGATAAAATCTCTCGAACAAAAATTGCATCTTAGAATTAAAGGAAACGATAAAATATTAAAAATTATACATATCGATTACGTGAAAACATCGTGGAACAAATACACAGGACATGGGAGAAAGTGTCTTAAACACTGAAAATATCAAGTCAAAGTCAAAAAGTAACTCAAAGGAAACATTATTTTATTTTTTTATATAATAATATTGCATTTAATTTTTTTAAAGAGATGACCATAACCGGTAATCGAACCAAGTGAAAATGCAAATGGTACACCGTCACTATTTCATAAAATTAATGGATATATGGTATGGATGAAATATCTCGAACGAAAATTGTATGTTACATTTAATGAAAACGACGAAATCTTACAAATAGCACATATCCATCTTAGAGTCATTTATCAAATAGACTTTATTTTAGTTCTAATTTGCTGTTTAGTTTTAGCGACATGTTATTACTACTTGCAGGGAAACCACATAAAACTTCTACTAAGCCATTTTATTCTTTATTCTGAATCACGAAGTTAAATAGGTTCGGTGGTGTTTAAAAAAGAACGCCAATATGTATGACAAACAAAAAGTTTCAATGTTACTTTACGGATATAGGAAAACAAAAGTTTTTATGAGTAATTTATTTATCACATTTGTAGCTAGTTATATGTTTACAAGCACGACCATAATAATATGATATTATATGGCAAGACCATGAAAGGAAATAAAAATGAACAAAGAACTGTATTACTATGTTAATTAGTAAATGTATCTGTCTACTTTGTTCATAAATTGAAGACTCATACTTACGACATCGTATATTCAAGTATTAACTAGGCTATATACTATATGATTAATAAAAAACACATTAAAATTAAAACGAATCAAGTTTAAAAGATTTAAACTAGATAATCCTAAGTCCCTTATATAAATATGCATGTATTATACTTAAAAACCTTCCTCTTGAATCACTATATCTATTGCTGAAAACTGCATTAAAATCCGTTGCGTAGTTTAAAAGATCTAAGCGTACAAACAGCGGGAGCGACTTTGTTTTATACTAAGTATATAGATTCGCACAAAACTTTAATTTCGATAAACCAATGCGTTTTAATCAACATTGTGTCATGAATGATTCAAAATAAAAAATCCATTATTTAATTATTACGAATAGGTACATATCAATTTACCTCGCGATCCTTATTCCCGTAGGTGATGCCCAGGTTGGGCATCGCACGCAAGATGGCGACGAGTGATTGAATCGTGTTGCTGTATACGACAGGCCGATATTGTTTGAAGTCTTCATTTGTGAAGCCACTCTCGTGGATAATTCTGTTGGATAAGGAATATTTGTTAAAATATATTAAACATATACAAAAAATATTTACTATAACCAATCTATACATATAATAAAATTGTAACTAAGCCGAATCTGTACATTAAATATTCTTTGGAAAATCTTATTGAAAAAGACACTATTATCGATACAGAAGCCGAATCTATTGATGCTAGATTTTTTGTCTATCTGTCTGCACCGCATCTCGGAAAAACCACTGGAAGCATTTTGATGAAATTCGGTATGATGATCGCTGGTTATCCGGGTCAACATATAGGATAATTAATAATTTAACTGCGGGAAAATATCTCATCTCTGAGAAATCTATACTAAATCGTTAAAACGTAAGTAGGGGCAAACCCGAGCGGAGCGAGGGTGAAGCGCTAGTATTAAATATTGAAATGAGAACTAAGATCGATATATAATAAATATTTAATTGATATATTATTTTACAATAACTATGCATGTATATATATTCTTAATACATTAATATTTAAGTTAAAACATAATAAAACACGCCGTAAAGTTAGATTATACTCTTGTCATTGCTCCTTGTGTCTTAATCACTCATTATGCTTAAAGAATACGAACAATAGGGCGGATACTTAAAAATCGCGACGAGCTATCGCTTTACCAAAACAATAACATTAAAGAGAACAAGTAATTGTATCTTTACTTAGAAATATTTTACATTATATCTGATCATACCTCGGTTCAGTGAACCGATTATTGCAAACTCGCATTTATTTAGGGAATAACCATGACTCATGGCATTAAAACCCGTACTTAGCATTTGTACTAATTGCTTGAATTTATTTTAAGTAGGCACGATAAGTAATAGACCTTTAACAAATTATTATTCTAGGCGCCGTACGTGACAATGGATATAAAGATCCTGATAAGTTGTTCAAAAACAAAAGTACCAACTTTTTGACATGATATGGATATTGGCGTTTAAGAGCTGACATGGCGCATGCGTGAAAGATTTGACGTCACGCTTACATAGTTATCACAGGGCCGCATGGCAGCATCCGGGACGCGAATGACGTCATCTATGTAATGTCTATCGCAAAATCTGATATGATTGCAATTATTATAATCAATAAAAAGTTTGCCGAAAATTAAATTGGTGAAATCTATACTAATATTATAAAGAGGTAGTTTGTGAGTTTGTGACGTTGTAGGGGATAATCTCTGGATCTACTGAACCGATTTAGATGAAATTTGGTAAGAAGACAGTTTGAGACCTTGGGAAGGACCTAGGATATTTTTATCCCGGAAATCATCTCTTAAGAGTGTAAAAACGGGGATGAAAGTTTGTATTGGGAAGTAAGCTAGGGACGAACCCGAGCGAAGCGAGGAAGAGTCACTAGTTCTTATATAATTCCTAACATCAATGCTGTGATAGTTAATACCTAATACAATCTTGGTTGATGGTAGTTAATTTTTTGGTAGGAGTACATCTGTATTCCCGACTAAGTGTTTGTTATTATAGGATAGATGTTTCACAGGATTCACAGAAAATAACATGCGAAGCTTAATTCTTATAAACGGATCTTAACACTTATCCGTGTAAAAATATTGTCAAATTTAAAAACATACACTTAGTATTTAAATTTTGCGATTTTTTCAAATATTTTCTTATGAAAAATGGAAAAGATAAATCTTCTAAATATATTAAAGTAGTTTAAATGGCGGTAACTTGTATCACATGTTACTCATACAATAAGCTTACACCATCATGTTGCAAAGTTCATTTAATCCAATTATTTTAATGGTCCTTAGTCAATGCAACGTACAAACACAATAAAGCTTCCACTACTCGACAGCAGATCTTTTTATCATTTTCAACATATGTGTAGCTATATTATAATAATAATTATGTGCAGCCTATCAATCCGATTTGAAAAAATCTTTTTGCCTAAGTTTTAGTAACAAAGATTAATATACTTAAAATTTCTATCTGTCTGCCCGTTTCTTTATTTTTGGTAAGTACTTAATACTTACGCATAATAAAATAAAGTTTAATAGTTCGGTAAGATACAAAGAAAATTATATCTACATAATCTAATATTAGATATAGCAGTATATTTGAGAGATACTATGCTATCTGCCAATCGGATATAATACATCAGTATTACACGTTTAAAACATATACAGTTGTTGATAACTATAATTGAACCATTAATAACAACAATTTATATCTGACTAGCGACTCACCCTCGCTTTGCTCGGATTCGTCCCTAGCTTGCTTCCAAATACAAACTTTCATCCCCATTTTCACCCCCTTAAGGGATGACTTCCGGTATAAAAGGTATCCTATGTCCTTCCCAGGGTCTCAAACTATCTTCTTGCAAATTTCATCTAAATCGGTTCTGTAGATCCAGAGATTACCCCCTACAACGTCACAAACTCACAAACTTTACCTCTTTATAATATTAGTATAGATTACATGTATAGTGTTAACTAATATTTCATAAGCCAAGATATTTTGATAATCAAACTTCTAATATCCATAGCAACCTTTTATTTTTCATCTCCGATTTTATGGTTTTTCTTCCTAAACGCAACGGGGCAGCGAATCGATGTGAATTTTTTCATAGACATAGTTCATGGGCATGAGTGGCATTTGGTTCGAATTCTTTTTATACCGGTACATTAAGTGAAAAACTATCCATTTGGAAAAAAAACTATCGAGGGTCGCGTCTCAGCAAAACGAATATAATATATTTTTACTATGTAAATATTTATTCATGTTTAACAAAAACATACTTACTTCATTTGTTTAACTATAGTACTCTTTCCCGATTCACCAGCACCTGCAAAAATAAATTCTCCTTAGTAAATGTTTATATGTAAAATTGACATAATTTACATTTAAAAATAATATAGGTTAATTTATTCTTTATTACATAACTAGCAAGGTACGTATTAAATAGATATAAATAGTTATCTATACATATAATAAAATTGTAACTAAGCCGAATCTGTACATTAAATATTTCTTGTAAAATCTTTTTAAAATAAACATTATTATCGATACAGAGGCCAAATCTAGTTTTTAGAATTTTTGTCGGTCTGTCTGTTACCGCATCATAGAAAAACCATTGGAGGGATTTTGATGAAATTTGGTATGGTGATCGCTGGTTATCCGGGTCAACATTAAAGGATACTTTTTACCGCGGGAAAATATCTCATTTCTAAGAAAAAATACAAAAACTGCAGTGTAAAAGTATACTAATATGTAAAACCTAAAAATTTGGTTTTTGCTCATCTGAACGCGGGCGAAGCCGCGGGCAGTGCTAGTTAGATATATATAACAGTTATTAAAATATTTTATGCGATTTCGAAAATAGAATCCCGATAATAATAGATAATATCGTGTTTTGCAGGATACCAAAGCTTAAACAATCATTAAATATTAATAGCCTACCTATCTATTTCTACGAGCTAATCTCTATAATAGAGTCGATTTTATTGAGGGGGTTTCCCTGAATGAATAATAAACGATTAGTATGAGATTACTTAGACATTGACGCGTATTACCTAGGTAATGGTAATTATCTATACCATTACCTAGGTAATACACGAGCGGAGTCACAGGCGAAAGCTAGCTCTCAATATATTTTTAAGTTCCTTTTTAACATCGAGCTATAAATTTTACTGTGACGTACAAAAAATAATAATTTAGTTTACAGTTTTAACAATCTATAAGTTCTATAAGTTGATAGGTTAAGAACAGACAGACGTTCGCTCAACCGCTGTAATAAAACCCGCAATGATATAAAAACAGTTAATTGCCGTTTGAATGTAAACCGTACATTTCACACTAAATGTATGTGTTGTATGTGAAATAAAAATAGAAAAGAAAATAAAACTAGTACAGCGGGATTTTTGAACGCCTAAATCAAGCAATACGATACGCATTAACACTACCCAAAAAAAAAACCTTGATTTTGCTTGCAATTAATGAACTTACAAAAACGAAAGAAAAAGAAGAGGAAAACAACGCGATAAGAACATACTTTATTACATTTTTTATTATTATCTATACATATAATAAAATTGTAACTAAGCCGAATCTGTACATTAAATATTTTTTGGAAAATCTTATTGAAATAGACATTATTATTACAGAGGCCGAAACTATAGTTTTTAGAATTTTTGTCTGACTGTCTGTTACCGCATCACAGAAAAATCACTGGAGGGATTTTGATGAAATTTGGTATAGTGACAGCTCGTTATCCGGATCAACATATAGGATACTTTTTACCACGGGAAAATATTTCATTTCTGAGAAAAAAAATACAAAAACTGCATTGTAAGAGTATACTAATATGTAAAACCTAAGAATTTCCTTTTTGGTCATCTGAACGCGAACGGAGCCGCGGGCAATGCTAATTATATATAAAACACATAAATTACGCATGGCATATTCATGAACAAATTAAACATGTAATATACTATAGTTGACTGTAGAAATATATTGCTATTCCCTGGACATACGCATCTAATAAATAGCAACCAACGTGGGCGCTGCAAAACTGACCCTGTCAAATAGCAGGTCTGAGCATTGTGACCCGAGTTGTATCTAATTGGTCCGCCGTTGGCGCGAACGGCCGATCTTTGACCTCCCGATACACATATCACCTACAGAGACGCGTCGACTCCTGATTTAATTTTATAATCGCAATGCCGCTGTGATACCTTCTTAGGGCATGTATGAACTGACAGCCATGCATGGGGGATAAAGAAACAAATTACTATTAGAATGTCTTAATAATATTGATTAAAATTAAAAAGATTTGTCCGATTTCACCAACATCCCATAAGCTACCACCTACGTATGGGATACCTAGCTTAAAAGTTCCACTAAACTAGCCCCTAAATTAAATTTCGTTTTACCATCGTCAGAGCCCGTATTTCTGGTATTAAGGTGACATTTTAACATTTAGGGGAACTCTAACTGTCGGTGAAACAGAAACTGTCCCCTAACGGCCCCCTAACTATGCTTAGGGGATCCCATAAACTTAGGTGATGTTGGTGAAATCGGCCATTAGATACATAATTTATACACCGGACATTCTTCACCGTTTAGATAAAAAAATGTCTTTTTCTTGATAAAATATTCGGTCATATTATAACTTATTACATATTATTCAATATTTCTTGTTTATGTGCCAACTGTGCCAAGAAACGTCAGGTGTGAATTGCTTTGATTCGGATATATGTATGTAATTCCAGTGTTACTAATTCGTTGTTACTCTGATTAGATCCGATTAACTCTACATAAAAGATTAAAAAATATATAAATGTTGGGGCATTAACACACAGCACCATCTAGTTCCATGGTAAGCTACGAGGCCTGTGTTATGGATACCAGATAGTTGATACACTACACACATATGTAACTTTAAATACATACATATTATAAATATAAACACCCATGACTGGAGTACAAACATTCGTGCTCATCACACAAATGAATGCCCCCAGCGGGACTCGAACCCGCGACCGCTAGCACAGCAAGTAACGTCACTACAAACTGAGCCAAACGTGTCGTCTATTGACAGAGAATTTCATAAAAATATTAACCCGTCAATCTTCGGATACTTTATCGGTGCGATCAGACAGAGCCTTAGTAAGGCATTTTGTGGTATCATCATGATAAACGATATTGGTCGCGTGCTCGAGCGATTCGTCTGATAAAATACCTGTCTTTAACATTCGACCTGCCGCTTTTTCAATGTTTACGATAGTATAACTCGAAGTAGCTCTCTTATTCGCATGTTAGTTTTATGGGGCATAATACGTCATATATTTTTTATTCCGAACGAATTTTAAAAATACTGAATTAATGAAAGGTTTTTACCTACTTAATGAAGTTTTTGTCAGTATGTTAGAATACAAGATATATATATATATATATATATATATATATATATATATATATATATATATATATCGATTTGGGATTTCAGTCATTTCCAAATTCATTAAGCCAACGTGAAGAAGTAACTAAGGAACCTATTAATTTTCGCATTTATCGATTATGGTTGATTTGTAATAGTTTTTCTGAATATTTGATATATTATCTCAAAATTACGTTGCAATACATATAACGCATTTCTATTGTAGATAATATTTACATGAGTGACCTCCATTCCTGTTAATAATATCGTTGGGCAAACAACGTATAGAAATAATAGAATGGACGTGATAGATTAGGTGTCATTATGGGGGCGGCGAAACGTGCAGATAAACACATAAAGGATTCAATCAGCACTTATAGTCATTTATTTAAAAATCAAGGTAAGTTACTCACTAATATCTACACGTAAGAAAAAGTATTATTGCCTCCACGACCGCGGACACGCCGGTGTAACAGTTAACAATAGTTTTCTTAGAAATTTAATTAATTTCTTAGAAATTTACCTGGAGGTGTTAAGCGAAACGTATCTACATTCAGATCTATAATGACGACACGTCTGGCTCAGTTTGCAGTAACCTAGTTTGAGGTATACTTGCTGTGCCAGCAGTCGCGGGTTCGAGTCCCGCTGGGGGCATTCATTTATGTGATGAGCACGAATGGCTGTACTCCAGTCATGGATGTTTATATTTATAATATGTATGTATTTAAAGTTATATATGTGTAGTGTATCAATCGTCTGGTATCCATAACACAAGCCTTGTAGCTTACCATGAAACTAGATGGTGCTGTGTGTTAATGTCCCAACATATTTATTATTTATTTATATCTAAAACCTAACTAAGTGTATGTGAATCTTCGAAAACCAATTTTTATACTAAACTATACCGAGACATACTGCTGCATATTTTTGTGTATTTAAGGATTCTAGGTCCTAGTTATTAAAAATCAATTGATAATAACTCACCAAGTGTTTAAAATAAAGAATATTAGAATTATTGTAATAAGAGATCAATATTTTAATTTGATCTGATGAACACTATAAGCAAGATTTTGTCACATAGGTACAGCATATTTTTTAAGTAACGAGATTACTTTCCACTACTTTTCCAACAATTATTTATATTATTTTGCATATTAGCTACTTCCAGTTGTAGTTTATTATATGTAGGTTTACATATCTTATATTGTGCTATTTAAGTTTTATAAGTATTTATATTATTTTTAATTGTTACATACAAATAAAATCTCACTATCGCAAATACAACATTACTTTTGTAAAAAGTCAAGTACCTATCGCTTATAATTTCAAGCAAACCCGCATTGCGAACTGCGTCGTCAATGCGTGGGTTTAATGCTTTCCAATGTTCACTACAATATACCATGACCCGAAAAACGACAATTGTGAAAAGTAAATTTTCTCAATACAGAGTATTTATATCAGTATAATTTAATATTCACATGCACTGTCTTTCTAAATATTGTCAACGAAATTGTCAAATTCATAAGTTAAACATGATTCATATTGGATAATTGTGATAATATACTACATTTTTGGGTATACTTAAAAATACTATTAAAGTTATCTTTTTTTCTTTTTATTTATAAATTTATAAATGAGTATTAGTTAAAATAGAACCAATGTTTGAAGTTGTTAAAATAGTAACCTACATGAATAATGATTTTAATGAATATAATTATTATAGATGAAATTATATGTTAAATTTCTTTACAATTATTACACAGCACTTGACAATGCAGTGCAGACAATTGGATAAAGAAACCTACTCTGGGTTCGATCATAACCTTTTTGTTTAATTTGATGCTGATCTTGTTTGTTTAATGCTAACGAGCAGTAATCCTAAATTTTATGTTTGGTCACAGAAATATAATTTTTCATATAAATATTATGAAACTCTTTGGCTTTTGCAGGTGATAAATTAAAAATCTTTAATTTATCACCTATAAGAGATCAAAAAATTTGATCTCTGAAGTCAACAGTTTCTTCTTTGTGGAGATAGTCAATAATATATGTAATTGATTGTATTTCTTGGCAATGTTTCATTCTTACAATATAGTGGCATTTGTGAAAACTTTTTAATGCATACCTATCAATTTTTTTTGAAAATCATGTTTCTTGAAAGAGAAATCAAATTACAAAATAAGAAAATGTTATATATTAGTTCTCTTTGGTGTTTTAAATTCTTATAAAACCCTTAAAACTTACATGTTTGCATATAAGTATAGGCATTATCTCATTACTCTTCAATTTTTAATATTAACTTTTCTTAATCTAAAAGGTGGTATTTATTGTTTTTCTTTCATGTTTTTAGGAGAAAGTGTTCTAAGTATAAATGCTCTTTTCTTCATGAGTAGATATAATATAAACATCCATTTTGACTGTTATATATAATTTAAGTGAAAACCACAAGATTGCTATGCATAGCAAAATTTTTCAAGTAAACTAAATTACATTCATGAGCATCATTTTTTAAATTATCAGCAAATAAACACTTTCGTTCAAATGCGGAACAATGATGCATACCAGCATACTGATTACTTTCAAGAGAAAGCTAATTACAATTTCCTACATGCCTCTGACCTGTTTAAATCATTACTCAACTCCATGATTTACTATTATTATTTATTGTAATTTATAATAATATGACTAAATATACAGTAATTGAATCGTTTTACAAACCACAAATGCGACCGTAATGAGCGCTGCTATAAATTCAATACATGGGTGCGGCCATGCCCATGCAAGAAAATTACCGATAAATCGTACCTAACAGAAGTAATTTAATGTCTTTAGAAGCCTGAATGCCATCCTCCTTCAGGTTCCTCTCGATCTGTCGGCTTCGGGCAGCCGCCGCGCGTTCCTCAGCCGACTGAGTACACCCCATGTCGGCAGCTGTTCCTTTCTTCTGGCTGCCGTCCGCCCCGACTCCCGAGCCGGGCGCGCTCTCACCGCACCCTCTGCATACGCTCCGGCCGCGTCCTGCCGCCCCGGCTTTACCGGAGCCACCCTACACAGCGTTAACACTCAACACAGTAACCTAACCGTGCCACTGATGCCACACACTGTCTCGATATAATGTAACACTTGTAAAAACCGCCGAACTCAGCAACTTTCACGAATCTATAATACACACGACACTTAAACGCGTAACGACAGCGAAAACTTTAATTGATTTTGTGAATACATATGAATTATGAGATAATGGCGGCCGGATGACAAGCACCAGCTCCACTCCGTGACGACTGACGGCGACCGCGCCCCGCTCGACTGACGTTCGGCGCGGTTCGGGACTCTTCGTTTCGACTCGCTCACACATGCGTGTAATCGACTTCCAGCGAAAGAGAAGAAAAATAAATGTGAAAAAATATTACGGTGTGTTTATTCTAAGTCTAACTGCCAATATTATAATGATTATTGTTAAAGTAACGATATTTAAAATTAGATTTTAGATTTCGTTGTTTAGTTATATTTTGTAGAAAAAAAAATAGTTAAGTATTAATATTATAATTAAATGTCTTTCCTACTGTAAAAATAAAAATTGTAGTTTTTAAATTACTACTACTTTATTGTTTATCGATAACATATAAAAATATATTTAAGCAAATTCTATTTTTCTCAACGTTTTTTTTTATAAATAATATGAAATGTAAAAGATTTAAAATTGTAATTACGTCATAAATACAAATAAAACAATTTTGAAGTATACATCTTAGATTAGGCAAAGGTTAAAGCCTAATCAACATCTCTTGGCAATATCCCAATAAAGTTACAGGTAGTTTTAAATTCGCAGCCCTCGCAGGCGACGTACGCTGTCATCAATGCATTGTTTACATTAAAAAAAATGAAAATAAGATTGAACTCAAATGACATTAACATCTTGTGAGTGATATTCCTAATTAAAATCATTCAACAAAATAAAATACTGCAATTAGTAAATGCATACTTAATTTAAATATTATATGACCTCATAATATTATACGAGTATAACGAATACATGAAATCAAAAAATTCTCTCGTCTGTTCAACAGCAATTTTTTTTACAAACATTTCATCATTGCACTATTCAACGCTTTCTTATAAACGTGTCATTTTTGTTGTAGATATCTGAAAATCCTTGTCATATTAAAGTCCAGAAAAAAAGCAACAAGCAGGTCGGCAGCATAAATGAGCCGAATACCGGCTTAGGAGAAAACGGGTGGGCAGTCGATAGAGCACCGGCAAAACTGGGACGTGCGCGCGCAACTGGTAACCGGGTAAGAGATAGGAAGCTCTTTTACCGAGGAGCAGCAACTTGATGTCCTTGGCGGCCTGGATGCCATCCTCCTTGAGGTTCTTCTCGATCTGTTTGCTTCGCGCTAGAGCGGCGCGCTCCTCTGCGGATGAAGCGCAGCCCATGGCGATGGCGCGCACGGCCTGGCTCGCTACGCGCGGCAGCGCCGTGCTCCTGGCATGCTCGCGGCTCGTCGTAGCTAAAGTACGCGCACGCGCTCGTTCGCGTACGCGTTCGACTCGTTCGGAAGTTCGGCGAGCGCCACGTCACGACTACGTTGCGCGCTCGCACGTTTAGTCGGATCGGTTCTAGATGGCACCGCGGCGTAGGCCCGCGAACGAATGATAGGTCGCGCACGCCCGTGACGCTCTGCTTACTGCGCAAGCTCGCCAGTCGGCTCCGCCTCGCCCACTCGATGCCCCCTGACACACTAATTACACCCTCAATAGAACTCACTGCTGCTACTAGCCTTTTCTCGCCTGAATTCAACTAGTTAACAAAGAGTCGGTAATAATTGTATTTGCATGTAGTATAATAGGTAGATATAATGTGTGTAGACATAATGTGGTAAGATAGAAATCATTATTAAAGGAATTAAATATAAACGGCAAATTAATATTTTAAATTATGTAAGTCTTAGTATTTGATGATCTTCTTTATCTATTCTATATCTATTTGAACATATAATAAAACGTAACAAAGTGAAATCTGTAGGTACATGAAATATTAAAAAAAATCAATCAATCAGCCTATCGCCTCAACAGGCCTCCCCCAATGAGCGCTAACCATCTCGGTCCTGAGCAGCCCGCATCTATCCACTGCCAGCCTTTACCTTTTTTAGGTCATTTGTCCATCGTGCTGCAGGGCGACCTACACTACGCTTGCCTAAACGCGGTCTCCGCTCTAGCACGTTTCGGCTCCATCGGCTATCAGTACGTCTGGAAACATGACCAGCAAGCTTATTCTGCGCACGATATCGGTTACTTTGGTTCTCTGGCGAATGACTTCATTCCGAATCCGGCATTCTTATTTTAATCAGAATTCCGGCAGACAGTGCCAGAGAAACTCAGTCCTACGGTGAGTGTCCACGTTTCGGCTCCGTTTGTCATTATGGGTAGGACACACTGGTTAAATACTGGTCTTAAGGGATTGTAGGATAGATGACTCTAGGATATGACGGAAAAAAATGACTGGTACGTATTATGTAATTATATTTTTTAACAACTGTGTGTCCTGCAAAAAAATAAATCTATACATATAATAAAATAGTAACTAAGCCGAATCTGTACATTAAATATTTTTTGGAAAATTTTATTGAAATAAACATTATTACCGATACAGAGGCCGAATCTATAGTTTTTAGAATTTTTGTCTGTCTGTTGCCGCATCACAGAAAAACGACTAGAGGGATTTTCATGAAAGGTATGGTGATAGCTGGTTATCCGGGTCAACGTGTAGGATACTTTTTACCGTTGGAAATTTCTCATTCCTGAGAAAAAATACAAAAACTGCAATGTTAGAGTAATATGTAAAACCTAGAATTTGGTTTTTAGTCATTTGAATGCGGGTGGAGCCGCGAGAAATGCTGGTAATAAATAAATAAATGTACAGAATATAGACGCCAAAACAATAGTTATTGAATTGTTTGTCTGTTAGAGGCACAGATGTATTGAACGGCAACAATTGTTGTAGTGATAATAAATTATTACACCGGTCTACATTTAGGACAACTTTTATTACAGGAAAATCTCTTATTCCCACGGAAACATAATAACAGGTTCGGCCGAGTTGTCCCTCAATTAAAGTCGCTGTCTGCCTCTGTTTCTCTGTTTACTTTCTCTAAGGCACGCAATGTATTTTGATACGGTTTTCAATAATAGAAAAAGCGATAAACGAGTAAGATTTGTGCATATAACTTTTCAATATTTTGTGTTTAAAAAAAATGTTTTCGCTTGTGTACATTTACATGGCTAGCGCTGGCAACAAGAAACTCGTGAAACTTCTTTGCGCGCATGAGAGTAAAATTTCATGGTCCAAGTTACGAAAAACCGTTGTGATTGCTATAGTAACCGCTTGCATTAGGTTGCCATAGTCACTGGTGGGGGGGCCCAGTAGTGCCCGGCAATCCAACCGGGCGCGAAGCTAAGAAACGCACAAGGAGGTTGCCCACTTCGGTGGGAGGTGGCCCTCTTCGGGGGGCGGTGTACCTTGCGGGTTGCTCCTGGTACTTCTCTGATAGCAGAGTGGACCGTGGAGCAGCCCCATGGTTGTTGTGGTCTGCTTCGGCAGACCTGCCGTCGGGGCGTCGTAGTTGAATGCGTAAGCGATCCTGCGACGCCCCATTAAGACGTGCGAAGGTTTTGTTGGGTTTTAGTGGGTAGTACTGGCTGTATTACGCCGGTGAGTCCCACACGTCGTGCGTAAATGCATTTCCCAACGTTAAAAAAAAAAAAAAAGGTTGCCATAGTAACAGGTATAGTCTGGAAAATTATATACATACTAGCAGTACGGCTTCGCCCGCGTCCAAACTTCCGATCGCTAATAAAATTCACAGGATCATCCACTGGGCTAATCTGAAGATCACCTAAGAATTTCATCAAAATCAAATCGCTCTAACTGTTTTGGAGTCCATAGGGAAAATACATACACACATCGGTTCTTATTTTATTTAATCAACAATTTAAATTAATTTTTTGCTTGGAAAATGGAGTCTTTTATGAAAATTTAGTGACACACCGACTGCAACGCCACCTACCGGATCCATTTGTATTTTCAAACCATCCAGGAACCCATTGAAATATACACACAAAATTTCATCCAAATCGGTCCAGTCTTTTAGGAGGAGTAGGTTAACAAACACGTACAGAAGAATTATATATTAAGACTAGCGACTCACCCTCGGTCCGCTCGGGTTCGTCCCTGGCGTGGGGTCTGGGAGGACCACCCTTATCCTTATCACTTAGGGTATGAAAAATAGATAGTAGCCGACTACTGAATACGCATATAAAATTTGGTAAAAATCGGTAAAGCCGTTTCGGAGGAGTACGGTAACAAACATTGTGACATGGAAATTTTATATATAAGATATTATGATATTATTTCCATTGCTGTCTTCACAGATTACTATTTTGATTAATTTATTTTCAATTATGTAAAATATTTATAACTAGTGACTCACTCTCAATTCGCTCGGGTTCGTCCCTTGGAGTGTATGCGATAGATGTAAGAATCCAGCTAGATAGAAAGAGATAAAATTTTATTCTCTCCTCTTTGTGTGATATTTGAATTATATTTTTGTCTGAGTAATATTAAAGGCAGCGGTAGCCCAGTGGTAATACGCTCGCTTGGGAAACCGAGTGAACCGAGTTCAAATCCCGGGTCTCGCACCTCTGATATGTTCATGTGCGAATCATTTCCAGCATGATTACCACTTGTCTTAACGGTGAAGGAAAAACATCGTGAGGAAACCTGCATGCCTGAGAGAACCAAGTTTTCAAAAGACATGTGAAGTCCGCCAACCCGCACTTGGCCAGCGTGGTGGACTATGGCCTGATCCCACTCGTATTGAAGGGAGGCTCGTGCCAAAGGCCCGTGCTCGTGCTCGTTAAAAAGGGCTGAATACATACATACTATATTAATTTTTTTTATTAATTCATTAATCTTACAGATGTTAAATATATGTAAATAACCAATGAAGATTCACTTCTAACATGTTTTCATAGACATTTTTTATCCTGTAAGCCATTTTAAGGCCTTACGATAACTTTTTATATTTTTAATTTTTACCCACCTAGGTACGCACCCGAGCGAAGCGAGGTTAAGTAGGTATAGAATAAATCGCTAGTAGTTATAGAATAAATTGAAAATAAAATGTTTACTTTCAAAATTGCGTACGTTTATATATACCTAATATAATTAAGTAATATTCACAAAGAATATTACTTACGTAACACCAATTAAACAATTATCTTGTTCATTTTTGAAGTGAAACTTCTTTAGAATCGTTGTGACGAAAACTCGATGAAACGAAAATGCGACACGAGAACGAGACAAATACATAAATATATAGGATGAAGCCGGCGAGAAAATGAGATAGAATACATTACACAGGAAGTGAAAAATAATAATAATGTCTTATGTAAACATGTTAAATAAAATGTAAAATAACTTTTACACTTCGTAAAAACAAAGTAAACCTTACAATTATCCTACTCCTGACACTTTATATATCTTTATATATATAATTCTTCTGTGAGTGTGTATGTCACTGAACTTCTCTCAAACGACTGGACCGATTTTGATGAAATTTTTTGTGTGTGTTCAAGGGGATCTGGGAATGGTTTAGATTTACAATTTGAATAATAATTTTCATCAAAAAAATTATTAAAAAAAGTTTGAAATTTTCAAATTAAAGACGTGTAGACAACCTACCCTACCCCAGCCTGCAAATTTATGATATTCGCAATGAAAAAAATACTAATCGATAGATTTTTAATAGCTCAATTCAACTACGTAGCCCTTCCAAATTGCTCACAATTAATTATAAAATTAAAAATCAATAAAGTCCTTGAAAAAAAATTCATTTATCCGTATATTCAAATTTCTATATCTTTTGATATATACAATATTTTAAATTGCTCAAATTCTAAAATATTGCTCAAGTTGCATTTGTAATTGCTCAAGTAGAGTTCTCACCAGCTCCACTTTCCTTAATAATTAAATAAATATAAATAGTTTGAATAAATTTAACGCATAGATAGGTGAGTGCTGCGAATGCGCGCATATATCCAGCAAACATAATGAGCATGTATACTACTACTTATTTTGTTTTGGAGCAAAGAAGAATATATAGAAAATACTTTGTAAACAGACATAAAGTTACAAAATAAAGTTACCTTTTAGTCATGATTTGATTTTTGTATAAATTGAACATAATGAATAAGTCAATAAATAATAAAAATACCTGATAATAGATGATGTTGTGCTTGGAGTATTACAGTTTCATTTCACTATGATGAGGTTATGAAACACTTGATTTTTTTGCCTTGCGACTCGCGTTACTGTTTGCGCGCATGCGCAGCACTCACCTATCTATACGTTAAATTTATTCAAACTATTTATATTTATTTAATAATTAAGGAAAGTGGAGCTGGTGAGAACTCTACTTGAGCAATTACAAATGCAACTTGAGCAGTATTTTAGAACTTTGAGCAATTTAAAATATTGTATATATCAAAAGATATAGAAATTTGAATATACGGATAAATGAATTTTTTTTCAAGGACTTTATTGATTTTTAATTTTATAATTAATGGTGAGCAATTTGGAAGGGCTACGTAGTTGAATTGAGCTATTAAAAATCTATCGATTAGTATTTTTTTCATTGCGAATATCATAAATTTGCAGGCTGGGGTAGGGTAGGTGTGTAGACAGGACAACGTCTGTCGGGTCCGCTAGTATATATATATATATGTATGTATTTTTTTATATGTAGCAATATACTCTATGATATGTATGTTCATCTCATTCTCTCGTAGGTTACTTTTCTGGAGTTTCATTTCTGCCGTAAGTGAATTGTATACACATACACATTTTTTTCTTTTTTTTTCTTTTTCGGGTATCTTTAAATAACTTGGGCAAACACAAAAAAATAACGAAATTTCATCATCTTTTTACACCTTTATAAACAATTTAAAATATTTTAGAAATTACTGTTTTTTGTGTGCCGTTTCCCAGTAGGGATCTGTTTATTATATATATTTTGCTAACATGATATTTGAAATAACGTGAAGCAGTATCCGAATCTCTAATGTCATAATCTGTGGTGCTGATCAAATGTCAAAAAAATCAGTTATTACTTATTACTTATTACATATTGTCATCAGTTTTTGTAATCACATAGTAGGTCAAAAATCTAAATCAAAACAGAAAACTTAAAAGTATTCGTAGGAGCCGTAAATATTATAGGTACAAATTTCTTTTTGTTTAATAATATTCGTATGTCATGGATTCTGACGAAGAAAACGATTTGCAGCCGCAATGGAAAGGCGTACCTGGTACTATCATTTTAATAAATGCTATTGAAAATTCAAAACATAGTAACTTTGCAATCGCACATGTTGCAACATGTCGTTTAATAAGACAATATATGAGATCATCAAGTTCTCAAAATGTTGGAGTATTTGTATTTGGTATTGATCTTAACAATTCTAATTCTAATTTTGATACTAAAGCCGTAATGGAAATAATTCCCTTATCAATTCCTACAGTGGATGATTATAAAAAACTAAAAAGCTTTGATATTTCTTCATATAATGAAGCTAAAGAGTTTAAACTGGCCGATGTGCTGTGGCATTGCAGTAAAGTATTTTCTAACTTTAAAAAGACTTTGTCGTCCAAACGGGTTATTATGCTTACACAACTTGATATTTTACCAATACTTACTGACCAAGAACCAACTCTAAATAGAGCAAGAGATTTAGTTGATGCAAACATAGACTTAACAATATTAAATGTTTCTGAACAAGAATGTGAAAATGATTGCTTATTTTATGAAAAGCTGCTAAAAATATCAAACAAAGGTATGGATTTTATTTTTCCTGAACCTATTTGGGACTCTTTTCAAATTGAAAAATTAATGTACCAAGAGTCACATCGTAACTTAGCTGTAGCAAGATTAAATTTTGAAATGGGTGAAAACTTTATTATTGGAGTTGGAGTGTATTCTTTACTAAGCAGTCAAAAGTATCAGAAAAATGTAAACTTGGACAGAGAAACTAATGCAATTCTTTCAAGTGCAACAAAAACACTAAAGATATCTGTTGAAGACAATAATGATGATGATGAAGAGCAACAGCAAAATAAGCAAAAAGAAGTACCATTGCTTAAATCAGAAATATTATATTATCAAGAGTTTGGTGGAGAAAGGATTCAATTTACTGATAGTGAAATGACAAAAATTAAAAATCCATTCGGACCACCTATGTTGAAACTCCTTGGATTTAAGTCTGTATCAAGTATTTCTAAAGAAAAGTGCTTTTTGAAATCTAGTTATTTCCTTTTCCCCAATGAAAGTATTATAGAAGGTTCTACAGTTGCTTTTAAAGCTTTGCATAAGGCATGCAGTGAAATGCAGATGGCAGCTTTTTGTGTATTATGCACACGAGTTAATGCCAAACCAATTAATGTTGCACTGATTCCAAATTCTAAGCCACTTAATATAAATGTTGATATTGGGTTTGATGTTGTTTCTATACCATTTATTGAAAATGTTAGGGATTTAAATATTAATGTTGATGATGATAACGAAAGTTCAAATATTGAAGATGCACATAAAAGCTTAATGAAAGACATTATAAAAACGATTTCAATGGATTATCAGGCTGACATGTTTGAGGATCCTAAAAAACAATCAAAATATAGAGCTCTAGAGGCAATTGCTTTAGGTGATGATGAAGACGATATGGAACCATTTATTGATACTACTAAACCTAATTCTGATAAATTTGCAGATATAAAAGATGATTTATTTGAAGAACTGTTTGGGCCTTTTGGTGCAGTATTCAAGAGAACAGCTTCAAAAATGCCTTTTGAAGATGCCAAAAAGCAAAAACTTGAAGATATTGATGAAAATCTTTTAAGTACAAGAATACAAGAAAAGACAGTTAATAAATATACTGTACAACAATTAAAAGATGTCTTGAAATCAAAAGATATTAAAGGTTTACCAGCATTAACTGGTTTAAAAAAACAAGATTTGGTTGAATTAGTTTATAAACATTGCATCTAATAGTTTAATAAATTGTTTTATAAACTATTTCTTTTTTAATTAATATGTACTTGAATGTTTTTACAGATTGTAACTTGTCAAAACCACTTGGATGAGCCAAAACGCGATTTCAATTGATATCGAATTATATAATACTAGCAGAACCCGCGACTTCGCTCGCGCTAAAACTACAAACAAAACTAAAAAGGTAGTTTCATACAAACTTTCATCCCCTATTTTACCCCTATAAAGGATGAATTTTGAAAAATTCTAAGACACGTATTAATTTAATTTTATTGAAAAGTATATATACCAAGTTTTAAGTAATTCTGATAAGGCTTTGGTCCAAAATTGTCTGCTCTCAATTTGGGCTAGTCTACATATGAGTCTACATATGACCTATATCACGGTAATGTAATGCATACAGTATTCCAACTTGGGCCTGTCCTTGAAATAATTACCTACAGCGGAGCGGCACGTACTCACGCGACAGGGCTGCCCGCCGGCCATTATTTTAATTTCATCTACCTAATTGAGTTTCTTTATAGTTTTGTGATTTCAAATATTATATATTTTATTTAAAAAATATTATTAGTAGATTTAATTAAAAATCCCAAATTTATTAGGGTGGTATGTGACCCTTATAAATTTGAGATTTAAAAATATTTGCACCTCGACTGAGACATAAGAAAAGCTTTATTGTTAAATTTAATAGTATAAAGAATCCGCATTCGGATAAAAAGTTTTATTAAAAATACTTTAATTTTTAATTTAATTAATTAGTTTTTATTTTCAAAACATACGATGTCTCGATACTTTTTTGTTTGATATAATAGCGAATTTACGGGAGGAATAAAATGTTTATTTTTGTATCGAATTATAAAAGTTACATAACATAACCATCTTATAAAATTTTCGTATCAAATTATACGATGTGGCAGCCCCGCACGGTTGTGTACCGAGTGTATACCGAACGCGACGCGCGTAGGTATAACTCGATTTCCGACCTTTTGTATGAAGATGGAATACTGTACATAACATTACCGTGCCTGTATGCTAGACGAAAAATAACTTTATCCTTAATAAACTTCTGTTCGCCAAACACCTGATTCTAAAAAGCCACCATTTCATGTCATGTTCATTATAATAGGAAACTTCATAACTAAGAATCTTTTTTTATTTAACCTATAAATTTTGTAAAATGTACCTAGCACCTTTAAACGTTGGGAAATGCATTTATGCATATAACCTGTACACATACAGGTGGTTATGTGGGACTCACCGGTAAAGCCAATGCTACCCACTAAAACAACCTTATAAAGGCAGATGTTTATAAACATTTTACATTCCATTTATACATAAATTTAAATTTCAAAAAAAGACAGGTATTGGCCAAGCGTTCGAATTCTTTCTTTCTAGAGAGTGGTCAATTTCATGATTTTACTCAGCCCATTCTCTAGGTCCATAGACTTATACCCAACCACCAGCTCATTTTTTTTAATGTTACGAAATGCATTTACGCATACCACCTGTATACATCCCCCCTGATGTGTGTTCACCTTGTTGTGTTGCGGGGCTCATTAGCGTCCGGCGCTGCAGACGGGCGCGAAGCCAAGAGACATTCAGGGAGGTGGTCCACCTCGGTGGGCAGTACACCATGTGGGCTGCTTCTAGTACTTCTCTCGCAGCAAAGTGGACCGTGGGAGCAATCCCTTGGTTGTGGTCTGCTTCGGCAGACCTGCCGTCGAGGCGTCGCAGTTTAGTGCGTACACGTAAGCCATCTTGCGACGCTCCTTTAAGACGGGGGAGGTTTTGTTGAGGTTTAGTGAGTAGTACTGGCTTTTCTAGCCATTGAGTCACATTATAACCACACCATACCACCATAAGTGGTATGCGTAAATGCATTTACCATTTACCAATTTAAAAAAAAAACACAATTGACATGACAGAAGTCATGACTAATGACACTTGACACTGTTGACAGTTGTAATTTGTAGTTCACTTTGTTAACACTTTAATCTAGATATGTATTTATATTTGCTTTTACAGTAATTAAACCAATTAATACCTATCCTATTATTTTATTTTGAAAAACAAATCTATTGTATTTTTTTAACAATTACAGAATGTCCTTTAAAAGGAAAAGTTGACAGAAACATGTTAAATATTTGAGGTATTTTTTCAACTTTAGGCTACTTCACTGAGAGGACAATAATTATGAATTAAATAATAATATGTTATAGATTACAGTACATTTGGGTCTTATATAACTTTTACCATATTATGTATTTTTTATAATTTATCATGTCTTTTTCAAATTACCTTTCAATAACTGATATTTTAGTAACAAATGAAAAAGTACCTTGTAAATTCTTGCATGATTTGCCAAAAATGGGTAAGTAGCAGCAGTTAATTATTACAGTTAAATATTTTTTTTGGAACTAATTGATAACAAAATATTTTTAGGATTTTTGGACCCTTCTGCTTCTGAAGATGATCTTAAAATTGGAACAAATCTAGAAATTCCTCTGTGGCTCGCTGAATCATTATACATAAGAAGACCACCCTTAGTTAGTGTAGAACTACCTAAAATATACAAAGAAACATATAGAGAAATCCTTAATGCAGATTCATGCACTGTTGATATGCATAAACTTGGTCAACATTTTTATGAACTTGGTTGTTACATCGCAAAATATGATATTAAAGGCGATGTTGCATCCACTTTAGTTAATGTAAGTAATTTAAGCCTTAAAATATTTAACAATTTTTTATGTATGTATATATATGTATAACATTTTTCTAATTATGTATTCAACTGTTTCATACATTGTAGACATTTAGGCAAAGGTTTAAAATGATACTAGCAGCAAGTGTTGCTACAGATTCTATAAGTGCTTTACAACCACTATCAGCCAGTGAGCGAGATCGCACAGAAGCTGCAGTTGTCACAGAAAAAGCTCTCTCAGGATGGTTGAAAAGGGGAGATTGTCCTCTTACAACAGCTAACATGGTTGCTAATCATAGAAAAAGGAAAAGAGCTGAAATGGAAATGTTATAATAGATTTAAAGTACAATAAAACCATTTATTATCAAATGCTAATATGTTTTATTTTATTATTTCTATAAAAAGGTTTAATTACTACAATTTGAGTCAATTGTTATAAATGCCATTTAAACCTTAAATATATAAATTCTTTAAAAATTCTAATCAATTGTACCAATACCTATATAAATCTTAAGAGATCTTTAATTTAGAGCTAACTGACAACATCCATTTTCAAATATTTACAAATTACAACTACTAGCATTAGCTATTTCTAGCTACTTCTTTTAACTAAACATTATGACATATGAAGCTAAATTAACATAATAAATGTTCATGTATATATAGTATCAATAATCATAGTATCAACTATTTTAACTATTTCAACATCTCAATTATATAACACTAGCTATTTAGCCTTGCTCTGCTTGGTGCCTTCCTAGTAGCCTTTATGTTTCCCTATATCATTATCTGTGTATATCATCCAAATTTGTCTAGGTGCTTTAGCAAGGAACAAACATACACACATACAAATTGTCACATTTATAAATAGTAGTCCAATTACATATTTACATATTATTATAAAATTGTTCACTAAGTAATAGGTACAATGTATTATAATATATAAATAAATAATATAAATAAGTTCTATTTAATTTTGGTTCTAAATTATAAGTCAAAATAATTAATTTTAAAAGCATAATAATAATACAACAAGTATACATATATAACTATCCAAGTTGTATAGATAGTTATTAATGTGTACAAAACGCTTATTCCCAGATAAAACTATATTTAATATATAAATGAAGTCTGATGAGTATAATATACTTATCTAACATACTTAATGACTTAAATGACTAGTTTTCTAGATAATTTATATGATTCTCACTGGAAACACTAATGACACTTTATAAGTTTAACATTCTTCATCACAACACTGTTGTACCTCATCATCATTGTCTTGATTCTTAACACTAAATAATAGTTCTGAGGTACACTTGTACGGGTGTATTGATTGTTAACATCTGTCATTTTTCACTGATGGATTCAAATCGTGAAAGTAGGCATGAGCCATTGCATCATCAGCAGGCATTCTTAAGGCTGGATTACAAGTGAGAAGGCGTGCAAGAAGATCCCTTCCTCTAGCAGGTAGTCTTGGCACTACTTGAGCAAGTCCTAAACTAGGTTGGTAAGCTGCCAATGGTTTGTAATCTGGTAATTGTGTTACTCCAGGCCAAGTATCTTCATTTGGTGTTCCTAAAATAATATGTTATATTATTTATAAACCAAAACAATATACTTGTAATCTCATGTGATGGACATTTTTATATGTTAACTTACCAAGTAACTTGAAAATCCTCTTAAGTTGGTCATCAACATCAGACCCAGGGAACAAAGGTCTTCCAGAATTAGCTAGTTCTGCAAAAATACAACCAGCTGACCACATATCAATACTTGTTGTATACAACTTTGCTCCAAATAAGACATCAGGTGGTCTGTACCAAAGAGTTACTACTTCAGCAGAGTAGCATTTTACAGGAATACCAAAAGCTCTGGCAAGGCCAAAATCAGCCAATTTTAGTTCTCCATTTTTATTAATTAACAAATTTTGAGGTTTTAAATCACGATGAAGTACATTGTGACTATGACAGAAAGCTAAGCCTCGTAAAAGCTGATACATAAATGACTTAACAACATCGAGATCTATTTCGCCATTGAGGCTGTCGAAATATTTTTTCAAATCTTGATCGCAATGCTCAAATACCAAAGTTAATTTTTTCTCACTATGTAGTACATCATATAAACGTACGATGTTCTTATGTTTTAATTCTTTTAGAAGACATATTTCACGTAATGCAGAGGATGGTACTCCTTCATCGTCATCATCTAATCTTACTCTCTTAAGGGCTACAATTTCATGAGTCTCTTTATTTTTAGCTTTAAAAACTGTTCCATATGTTCCTTCTCCAATTTTTTCCAGTTTCTCATATTTCTGCATATTTAGGTTTAAATATTATGTAGTATCCTATCTTCCTATACTATAATTTTCATTCAAATACCTAGTAAAAATCCAATAAACTTAAATTTCTAAAATAGGGCCAATGGGCAATGGGTCTTAGGTCTTGTCAATTTGACATTTATTTAAAGATAATATAATATTTTATTTGAGAAAGTAGATAAAATTTTTGTGGATGTGGGTTTTAGTTAAATAAATAATATCTGTATTTTATATTACATTCAGCTAGTTAAATATCTAATTATCATTTTTTTCATTAAATCCTTCTAGTGGTTATTCTTTGTGAATATTATATTAAATTTTTTATTGTTAATAAAAATATTGTAATTATTTGATATCTGTGTTTGAATAAAAATAATCATTTTGATAAAATTAATTTTCATGATCATGAAGCAAAAAGTCAATTCAGAAAGTTGAATTGTCATCCTAACGTTTAATGGACACAATTCAATTTATATATGTCATGTGTTAGAGACTTTGTTTATATTTTGTACCAGAATAAAAAATAAATAAAAGAAAACATCTGTGATATAATAAACTATAAAAGTAAGTGGAATATTTGAAAAATAAGTTATTTTGCGTTTATGAACATGTGTTTTCTATTTGATTTTAAATCGTAAGCTAATAAACTGGTTAGTTACGTAGTTAAATGTAAAACGTAGATCACGAGATTTATATGATTGTGTTTGCAGATGAGTGAAGGCGAGCGTACTTTAGTAGACAAATCTGAGAGCAGTTCTTTTGAGGACTTAGCTTCTGCTGCTGCACACGAAATCGAAGAAGCAAAACTTGCTGAAGCAGCTGCTTCGGAAAAAGACAAGCAAGGACAGCAACCTCCTGAAGAGTGGCAGGACCTGTTAGGCTCGGGAGCACTCTTAAAGAAAGTAAAGTCTTTGTAAAATTTTATTTTTAAGAATAAAAGTGTTTCTCAAAATTTGGTATAAACTAAATATATAAAAGTATATTTTTGAACCTTCAACATGATTTAATAAAGATTTTAACATTTTCAGTCATTAAAAACAGGTGATGAATTAAATGGCTCTAGACCACAAAGAGGTGACATTTGCAGAATTAGTTATGAACTTAAATTACGTGATGATAGTCGAGATCTTGTTGAGAAAAGAGATCATGTTAAAATTTATCTGGGGGACAATGAGGTAATATTAATTATAATTATTAATTGCATTAAAATTAAGTTTTATGTAACAATTTATATGATTAACAAGTTTAAAAATAATATGTTGCTCTATGTTGTGATTAAAGTTAATAAGATTGCTTAATATTAATATAGTTATCATAAATGGCATTATGGAAATTCTGAATAGTTTCAATACTAAAGCTATTTCTAGATTCTACAAGGACTGGACTTAGCATTAACTCTTATGTACAAAGGTGAAGCATGTTTATTGCAAATAGCACCTAGATTTGGATATGGCGAGACTGGTCTAAAGCCTGGTGAGAGTCTTGGATTGATAGGGGAATTGGAAAGTCCCAAATATAATGGAGCAGCAATAGGACCAGACACTTGGCTTGAGGCAAGATTAGAACTTCATGATTGGACTGAAGAACCTGACCATGAAACCTTACCAATTGCAGAAAGAATGGAAATCGGGTGAGTTCATAATAATATTTCTGTATATCATTAAAAAATATATGAGCATGATGTATTTTTCAATAAGTTAATGTAATTTTATTTTATTTATTTCGTAGTTTAATTTTATTTAAGTCTTTAAGTAACCATTTCATTTTCTATAACAAAACTAAAATGCAAACAAATTTGGATTTGATATTAAGTAGAATAGTTGAAAAATTTAATACATTGATGTCAAGGTTGAGTGTCTTATCTCCTTGCTATAGCTGTGGTGACTAAATGTCAAATTTATTAACATAACTGCATATATTATTGTTTATGTTGAAAGAATATCACATTTAATTCCAAAAATGCTAGTTATATTATGTATGCTCATTATGATTCACATGAATCTAACAATATACATTGTGTTTCACATTATTTTTATTTTATATCATATTGAATAAAATACATGCATATTTTTGCACTTTAATCATTCGTTATATTGTAGAATTTACTATCTTGATCTTTATTATACTATGAATTAAGATTATAACTATTTTTCTAACTTTGTTTACAAGTTAATTTTACCTGCTATTTTTTTATTGAAAATATTTTTATATTCATGGGTAATTATTTTTTAAATGTGTACGCCTTTTTATTTTAAACTGTTAATATCTATAAAACCTTGCTTGTAATTAACAATATGTATATTCTTGTGACTCAAAAGTATGTTTTTACATATCTGAATAGATTATTGCTGCTTTGCACTGTCATTTCTACTTTAAATGTATGATATAGTGATTGAATTCATATGTCAAATATATTTTTAACATTATAATTAGGCAGAATAGTTTTTTTATAAAAAGCTACAGGAACATTTTTAAAGCCTTGTTATGTTGATTTTTGTTTTCAATTATGTTTTGAAATTGTTATATTTAAAAAAATGAAGTTCCACATGAATTGGCCAATTTGTTTTACTATGCAATCTCAAAGAAGGCAGGGGCCAAGTCAAGTGGTTGGTAACTAAACCCAATACATGTAATACATAATATGGGAAGTAACTAAGGTAGTACTTGAATTTTGAACTTGACTAATATAATAAATTTGAAAGGTTGTGTGCGAGTGTGTTTGCTACTTTTTCATGCTTTAGTTCAGCTCAGCGAATTTAAGTGAATTCAGTAACAGAATTTAAGTCAATTGAAGATTGTTTATATTCTAGACTAGCGACTCATCCTTGCTTAGCTTGGGTTCATCACTAGGTTGATTCCCCATACACCACGATTTTTACCCCCTTAAGAGATGATTTCCGGGTAGTAGGAAGTATCCTATGTTCTTCCCAGAGTCTCAAACTATCTTCTTACCAAATTTCATCTAAATCGGTTCAGTAGATTCAGAGATTACCCCCTACAATGTCACAAACTCACAATCTTACAAACTCACAAACTTTACTTCTTTATTATATTAGTAAGTATAGATGAGAGGCTAACCAAAGTTTTTTTATATAATTTATAAGTATCCGCCGTCGTTGCCGGGGCAACTGGTGGTACGGTCGTGGTGAAGCCCAGTTAGCTGTTCAGTTATACCGGCGTGCATTAGACGTGCTCGATGAGAGCGAAGGGGGTATCACAGACCCCACGCCGTCTGGCGATATAACCCCTACGTCTGATGCTTTGCACTCCTTGTTAGAAGAACGTCTTAGAGTTCATAATAACATGGCCGCTGCTCAGTTAAAAGCTGGGGCCTTTGAGGCTGCGTTACAGGTGTGTGTGTTATATATTATTAATTATAGTTAAAAATGTTAAGGGTTATATAAATAGTGACATTTAAACTTCCGCTAACACGTAACGGAAACAGATTCTAGTTCAATACAATGCCCTCTATTGTTGAAAAAACTTTCAGTTGACTCCTCTCAAGGGAAGGGCTGAACAAATTTCAATTATTTGTTTACATTACTCTTTAATACCAAATTTTTGAAGGATTGATTATATACACATATTTTTATTATTCTTTAGTGTGTGATTTGTTATAACAGTTCAAAGGATTTGAGTTTAATTCACAACAGCGATATTTTGGAGATAGATTTTATTATGCATTAATGCATTAACACACGAATAGTGAGCTGAGCTGCGGGCAAAAAGTAGTATATAATAAAATAAAAAGTAACCACTGTTTCCTCAGTACATGATTATTTCTCATTTCTCATCACAAACCCACCCTGGGTTTGTAGAAAATCATCAAAAACTTGTATAAATAAACAATGCCAATTCATATAAAAATCCCACAGGCAGTAACAAGAGTACTAACCTGTCAACCGAACAACGCCAAAGCCCTATACCGCAAGTCCCGTATACTGACCGCCATGGGGCGGAACCCAGAGGCGCTGGCCGCAGCCCGAGCAGCCGCGGCTGCAGCCCCCGAAGATATCTCCGTCCGCAAAGAACTTTCTAGATGCGAACAGAAGGCGACAAGAGATAGATCAGTGGAAAGGAAATTGGCTAAACGCATGTTAGGGGGTACCGCTGTACCCAAACCGTCCCCAGATAAAAAGCCTTCCAGAGCTAAAGTGAGTGGATTGTTAATTGTTATTGGGTTGGATATGAAATGATATCCTACAATACCTATTGCTTATAGAAAACTAGAAATTTTGAATAAAGTTAAAAGTAATTCTAATTCTATTCCAGTCTTAGAGATGTTTTTTTTTTTTAATTTATGTATAAAGCTACCTAGAATCCTTAAAATTGGTATGCAGTATGCGATATCGCGCGACATACACAATAAGAAACGAATAGAAAACTATCTCCGTTTTGGAGTTGGTAAAAAATTACCAAAATGAATTATATTTTAGCATTAAACGATATGATCAAAACAAATCATTCATCATCGGTATAGTATTTCATAGTTTTCTATTAGCGATGTCGATTGTATAAAGTACCCTTGTTAAGGGTTAAGTTAGTTTTGGTGAATTAATTTTATTATAATAGTATTTGGGCGATAGTTTTCATAACAAAAATGTTGTTTTATTGTAAACAATTGCGTTTTATCAGAAAATAAACGCATATAGATAAACTTAAAAAACAAAACCTTATCTAAATACAAAGTTGATCGCGATCGTCAGAACCGTTTCCGAGATACCGAAATAAATTTATATACATATACATACATATATACAAGAATTGCTTATTATAAGATAAGATTAGATAAATAATAATTTTGTATTTAAACGGGTAAGTTTCAAGAGATGTGGTTTAAATGTCCAGATGTTTGTGTGGGGCTCGCTGCTTCTGAGCCTGCTGGTGGGTGTGGCCAGCGTACTTGTCTACCGCTACAAGATGCAGTCCCAGTGAAACTATTATAACCGTAACTATCTCTTATATATTAAACTAGCGAAACAAAACAAAAACATCTAACCCACGGGAACCGTACATTTTTCCTGAATAAAAAGTAGCCTATTTGTTATTCTGATGTATGAACTAAATTATTGTAAAGTTTCATTTAAATCCAATCAGTAGCTTTTGTGTACTAAGCTGTATAAGTTACTATAGTTTTTTAAAGTATCCCACGGGAAGTCTTTGATTTTCCTGGATACAAAGTATCTAAAATGTTGACCGGGAATATAAGGTACCACCATTCATTTAAATTGGTCCAACAGTTTTGGAAATTAGCCCATACAAACAGACAAATAGAGAAACAAAAAATTTGAATAAATCTGGATTTGTTCTATTTCTCTTCTTACATCCCCTGACTCGGTTTTTGCATTTTTTTTCTATGTACAGACATTCGACTTCTACAGTTTTATTATATGTATGGGCTAGAAGTATGAAGGCTTGTACCAAACTTTACAGGATTACCTGCTGGGGTAATCTGAAGATTTTATGAAAATGTCATCAAAATCGCTCCAGCCGTTTTGGAGTACATAGGAAACACATACACATCGATTTTTGTATATATAGATGATTATGATTATATTTTTTGTTATGTTGGTTTTACATGAAATCAGAATGGACATTTGTTTTTTTTTTTAAATAATTATCTTTAATTTTAACTAAACTGAAAGGATTTTGGCTGTGCATCTTATATAGATTTAAAAATTTATCTATCTTACATAGATTTATGTATTTCAGTAAACTTTAAACTTATGTATTTTACATAAACCTCAACATTTTCTTTATATTAAATGTTTAGGTTAAAATGATTTTATTTTTTATTTTTAGAATAGTTACTGAATTAATTACTTCATTTGGTTAAATTGTTGAAAATGCAGTCTATAAATACCATGTCAAATTATTATCAACATTAGCCTTGTAATTATTATAATTAATTAATTATGAATATGTAACATTTAAATTTAGCCATTTTTTTGTGTTTAATTGAATTGTGAATTCCTATTTGCAGCAATAACCGAAAACTAGAACAACCGGGAGAGGCGTGGCATGCATTCTACAAACCCATTAAAACTCATAGCTTATGTATATGTATATAATATATCTATCTACATGTGAGAGACGGGTATACGAAAGTTTATCAAAGGGAATCGTATTAAAACTGGTTTAAGCAAAGCTTATATATACACAGATTATCATCGTCTTAGTGGTTATTTGTTCAAAATGTCAATATTTGTTGTATGTTTGAAATTTTTGGTTTTCACATTTTTCAAGTAAAATGTGTATTTTATACCAAAAGAATTGATATTTAAAATTCAATAATTCTGTATTAAAAACTTCTTTCGGTAAATTGGTCGTTTGGACAAATAAGCACTGAGAAGTGAGACTACAATATTAGGAATTTAAATTATATATATCAAATTATATCAAAAATGGAGTTGTATTTCAAATTAATAGGTTTGAAGCAACTCTAAAAATTCATTAAGGAAATATCAAAGTTTTTAGGGTAATTGCTCAATTTCAATTTTTTTTCGCCATATTATAACAACTATATATATGGTTTGTATATAACATAACATCGCCTTAGTGCTTATTTGTTAAAACGACCAATATTGTACTTTACAGTAGATATTTTTTTTCTTCTTATTACTTTTGTTTTTAAGATTTATATACAAACATATATAGACCAAATTTTTTTTTTCGCTTTATTAAAAAAAAGTAAAGTAGTTCTTTTAGTAAAAAAAAACGCGTGTCATATGTACGCATGTAAGTTATACTTCTTTGGCGTAACAGAACAAAAATAGCTAAAGATTTCATCCCGTATGTCACAAATCTATGTTTGTAAAAGGAATAAAAATAATAAAAATAAATGACAGTTATCAGATAACTTCATAATGTAGATTTCAACTAACTTGATCATGTCGCTTTTTGGCTGTCGGTGTGCGCGCGCGTCGTAAAAATTTTACTCATAATTTTTTCCAAACGTGCCAAAAGAATTATAACTTCAAAAAATAAATACTATACCATTGACATTTAAAAGTCAATAATTCTACATATTCTTTGAATAAATTGGTCGTTTGGACAAATAAGCACTGAGATGACGAAAAGATATTGTTAGGCGTTACATATCTGTAAGGGTGAGAGGAAGTTACAATAACATAATCGATTTAAATATTAATCGATTATGAAACGTAGTATTTTTTTTTTCTAAATAAATGATTAGTAATATTAATTATTAATATATAATATACAGTTCTTATATAATTATAGGTTGCTTGAATATATTTTTCTGAATTGTTACTTGTTCTCATAATTCTTGGTTTAATTTTTATCTCTTTTTCTTTCTTTGTTTTTTTTCTTTCTTATGTAAATATCAGTTAAAGAGAGATATATGAGAAAACCCTTTTAATATTTTTAGTAATAAATCGGACAGTATGCTAAGCGTTTCATAATAATACCGTTTTAAAATAAGATTTCTCCAACGTCTACCAATTGAGCGATGCTTCGCGCATTTCAGTTGCTATTTAGGTATAATATATTGATAATTGCGCAGTCATTTGTAACTTATTTCTTAACGACACGGTTATATACCACATAAATATCCAAGGGTTGTCAAAAATATCTATTTTCATGGTGAACGGTGGGGACGGGCAACGGCAGAATTATTTCTAGGGGATGCATCTGTTTCTTTACATTTATATTAACTAATCTTTAAATATTTATTCATAAATGTATTATTTTTTTAAAATATTTGTGAGGAATATTTTGTTTATTTTTTTTCGCAAATATCTAAATGTAAACAGGGACTGTACTCTTATCATATTTATCATTTTATTTCTTTGAATATTTTTCTATATTTTCCTTCATGGCAAGGGGGTGCACCTTCCCCCCCCCCCCCAGCGCCTACGATGGTGGCAAGCTAATCATTATATACGTTAATCATATAGCCTTTTCCCGACTATTATATAAAAGTAAGTATGACAGTCGGGAGTGCCCTCCCCCTCCGCACCCCCGTACGATTGCTTTGTCTAGATGCCTTCGTTAGACAAATGTATGGATCAGTATATTGTCAACTGTGGTTATACTGTCTGTTTTATTGCTTTCATAATGTACTGCTATGAAAAAATTAAATAGAACACTTATCCCGTTTAATCACTCTGTAATAGCCACCAGAAGTTAATTTTAATTGTTATCGCAATTTTTATCACAAATACAGTGCAGTAAAACCATCTATACACGCTATTAATATATATTTTTGCGAAAGTAATGCTTTTTTTTTAATTGGGCACTGTCTTAAGATACAATACAAACATATTTTTAATTATTCACCTTTGGACTTGGTCTATTCTAGGATGGCTTTAGATAAGCGGAATAATATGTTAAATAAAAAAATCATAAGGGATTCTCTCTTTCATTAATTTAATGTTGCCTTCCTTTAAAAATTTAGATATACTTTATTCAAGTTAGCTATAAATTATATTTATTGATTAGTATTACTAATTATTAGCAGCTATATGTTAAATACACATTGATATACAAAAACTCAACATAGAGAATTAGTCAAAAGTGTCCTCAAAAAGAAGTGCATATTTTCAAATTGAATTGCGTTTTTTAAATCTCTTTTTTTCATTGCTTTTCGGTTGACAAAATTAAAACGCACGTTGTTTCGCTTAAAAAGTAGTTTATGTGATGTACCGTGAGTTTGAATTTGTGTTTGGACAATTAGAATTTTTATTCTTTAGTTTATATTTTATTCTTTAGTTTGACTTAACTTCACATGTCGACGACACTTTTTGAACAGATATTTGTTAGGAAATATGTTATCTATGTTTTTATATGTCAATGTAAATACAGCATATTTTCATAATTGATTAATTTAGTTTATATTATTTAATATTTATACTACCTCTATCTTTACATGTTTAAAATTGGTAACAGGTGTGTTAGTACATAATATATATATATAACAAAATTTAATTATTTCAATTTTTTTATCGAGCAAATTGTAATCGTTTTTTTAAGTAATCTTAGGGTCCAGAAAGCTTATGCTTAGAAAGTACCTCAAGTAGGAAAACAAGTGCAGAAGCGAGTTCGAAATCGAGTTATCAAAATATGTTAAACACTAAATATATCGACATTAAATTTGTTTTTTTTTTTTTATTTTGATTGCCAGTTTTTGTTGTATATAAATTTTAAAAAATCTGCCAGAATATTGGAGACTAGAAAAATTGCATTTCTTTTTTAAATTAGACATTTCAGTTCCGTCGATTACAGCACTTACGAGTAAGTAATATAGGTAATTATTTTTTAAACTATAAAGGGGTTGTAGGTTAGGCTAATATAGATAAGGTACCATTGCATTGAAATTTATATTGTTTCATTTATATTTTTATTTTATATTTTTTCCCCATTGTTATACTTTATAGGCAGTGCCAAATTTAATGTATTATAGTTATTTTAATTATCTGTATTTTATGTATAATCTAAAAAGTTTTTAATAATAGTCAGGAAAACTAAATATATGCAGAAAACATTAAAATTATTTTTTGAAACTTTTTACGCTTAAGTAATAAAACATAATATTATGTATTTACATTCCAAATGTAAATGTGTACTTATATTAACTAATCATATATTTTTTTGTCTTTTTAAAGTAGTAGTATTATATTATAATAAAAATACAATTATCCTAAACTCATGAAAAAATATCGATTATGTCATTCATTTTTATATTTTTTAAATTAAATAAAAATATACTAAAAGATAAATCAAAAGAAGAAATCAAATATTCTCTTATAGTTTTTTTTTAATAATCAATATCTATGTGACTTGGTGCTTCTTTCTAATCATTAGAGCTTTATGTCATAGTAATTAATATATAAAAACAAAACATATATGTATATCACATAGCTCCATTTATTTTTAATATTGTATATTTTTAAATTTCTCTTATTTTCGTTTTAAAATTAGTACTAGATCTAGACAAGAATATGTTTTAAAATTATATTATATACTTTGGTTTGGTAGGTCATGGTGGTACCGTTATGTAACGAATTAAAAGCATTAAAAAAAATTAATTGTTTTATTATTTTAATTATATTTTCTAAAAAGAAAGCCAACACTTATAGTGCATCGAATGTTAGTTAAGTGCAAATTCCTGTATATTACATAACGAATAAAATTGAAAATAGCAGTTCTTTTTCACACTACATTCCATTGGTTTCAAAATTAAAAGGAATTAATATACATAATAATAGTTAAGTGCTGTTTTCTCAATGTACTGCTATTTTCAACGTTTTCCTTTATTTAAAAAACAATAAAAAGACAATATTATTTCATATTTTAATGAAACAAAATATAAAAGAGAAATCCACATTTTCTAAAAAATAAACTGCAATATTCTTTTAAGACATTTACATATCTATACATATAATAAAAGTGTAACTAAGCCGAATCTGTACATTAGATATTTTTTGGAAAATCTTATTGAAATAAACATTATTATCGATACAGAGGCCGAATCTATAGTTTTTAGAATTTTTGTCTGTCTGTCTGTTACCGCATCACAGAAAAACCACTGGAGGGATTTTGATGAAATTTGGTGTGGTGATAGCTGGTCATCCGGGTCAACATATTGGATACTTTTTACCGCGGGAAAATATCTCATTTTTGAGGAAAAATACAAAAACTGCAATGTAAGAGTATACTAATATGTAAAAACTAAGATTTTTTCAATTTTTGGTCATCTGAACGCGGGCGGTGCCGCGGGCAACGCTAGTTATATAATAAATAGAGTAGAATAGAGCAGCCTAGTCTATATAATTTACACTATAACATAAATTCGCATAATACTTTGATACTATAAAATAAAAATCTATTTTAAAACATTCTTCTGAGATGCAGACCTTTTATTGTCTACTGACTTGCAATACTGAGGTTATATTTTCAAAAACAAGATGGCTGACTTCAATATTTGTTCTAACATATACATATGTATATGTACATATCTTCGTCTTATACTTAGTTTTTTGTCTAAATTTATATCACAACGTGGATTTAAAGGTAAATATTTTTGCGACCCAACTGGTGGCGTGCGTTAACAATATTATGACTCCAATAGTTGATAATGCTTGTATAGAAAAAACGGTCGCGACAAAGTCGTAAAGCAGTTTTGGTGAGAACACACTCCACACAAACAAGTGATATCTAAACACAGTCGCTATGACACAATAAATGACTACTTGATACACTCTCTGCAACGCGTAAATGTTCGTGACGCGCCACACAGATTGTACGTATCTGAAAAAAAAAGAATATATTGAGTGACAAAGAGCTGGGCAGGTTATTATGTAATTGAACAATCGATCGATATGTTGCATTATTTTGTTTGAGTAACTGACGTTGTTACTACTGGTTGCGTTTTAAAAGTTATAGGTTCGACCAGAGGAAAAGGAGAGAAAGCTTTGTAACTTTATATGTACACATTTGTCGTGGCCTGGCTATATGAGGTTGAGGCGTCACTACGAAATAATACTTGTTATTTCTTCTATGTTATTTCAGTTAGGGCGTACTTTGCATCTCAAATTTAATGTTTTCACCGATTTAGAAAATTAGTGAGTTGTAATAAAAGACCCTTGGAAGGCCATCAATAAAACATTATCTAAGAGATAATAACGCACGTGAAGACTTTTATTATATGCCAGCAAGAACAGAGCTGCGAGTAGCGTGTATTGTGTGTATGTGTATGTGTGTGTGCAAGTGTATATTATATGTGCATTGAGTGTGCATGCACATGTGCGTGAGTATGTATTGTATTCAACCCTTTTTAACGTCCCATTGATGGGCATGGGCCTCTCAATTCGAAGGGGATCAGGCCATAACAAGGTCACTAAAGGACAATAAAGGTCCACAACGCTGGACAAGGCAGGATGGCGACCTTCATTTGTCTTTCGAAAACTTACTAGGTTCTCTCAGACATGTAGGTATCCTCACGATGTTTTCCTACACCGTAAGATAAGTGGTAATCATGTTGTAAATGATTCCCACATGAGAATATTAGTGGTGCGAGAAGCGGGATTTGAACCAGCTTCACTTAATTTCCCAAGCGAGCGCGTTACCACTGGGCTACCACTGTCTATCGCGTACGTAATGTGTGTGCGTGCGTGCATGCACGCGTATGTGTGCGTGTACTTATATAAGCGCGAGCACTCACTGCCGCCAGTCAGTCGCGGCGCGCGCGAGCCCTGCGAAGAGCGCGGCGCCGGCGAGCGCGGGCGCGGCGTACGCGTGCAGGCCCATGCGCAGTGCCACGCGCGCCGCGCCGTACTCGCGCAGCCCCACGTAGCCCGCGCCCAGGTCCACTGACGCCAGCGAGTTGGAGTTGCCCTGACGGGAGATGGGAGATTAGTTTCTTGAGCTTTACTGTTTTAGATTACATTTTTTATTAAATATAATATCTTTATGACCGTTTTCAAATACGGCGGCCAATCTAATCGAGACTAGTAAGCTTTGCAGCGAGATATTATAGACAACATGTACGTGCAGACACACCGTGCACTCTCTATTCGTATTAATCTCAAAGTCCGATGGGACGATACTTCTACACAACTCTCAATTGGTAGCTGTTAAGACATTACTTATATATAACATAGTACTAAGCCATTAATAAGAGCTTCTTAAGAGCTTGCAATCGCAACTAGTAAAACCATGCGGTCACATCAGGAACAAAGAAAAATTAGTTCAAACAAATTTCAACCTATTGATTTGTTATAAAAGTTTGTGTAAAATTAACAAAAAATAACAATTAGCTGACAAAAGGGTATATTATGGATTTAAAATTGTTTCTAAGCGATATAATGAAATAACGCACTCATAAATCAAATTTGCGTAACAGGCTATTGAAGCAAGTAACAATCATGTAATATTTTGTAGTATATTCACACCTTTACTTTTTATCAGTTTAAACGACCCGCAAATATTTCAAAAATTATAAAAATAAAATAATTCAAAAATTTGCAGATCAACGACATCTATTATGTATTCAAGCAAACAAACATAGCTTGAAGAATACCCGAATTAGAGCTGTCCAATTTCTTTTTATGTACAGTATTATGTCTCATACACAAGAGTGAGTCAAAAGCGTGACTTTTTTTATATATTTTAAAATATTTAGAATCGTAATGAAAAACACAATTTAATGTCACGCAACCTTAAAATTAACGTACAAACTTTTTTTACTTAATAAGTTACAAATAAACAAAAAAAGGCATTACTTTAAACAAAAAAATACACACCTGATAAAAGAAGAACAACACACCAATCCACAAATGGACAAGTGATTTACTCAATATATCCGCTACTTCAGTCCTTCTTGCAGTCCTCGCGTCTAACAACTTATGGTCCAAACACTTAGACGTTAAGTGACACGTGAAATAAATACTCGGCACCATAATAACATTATGAGGTCGCATCAACAAAATAACTATCAACATCAGATCATTGTACATGATGTGAGTGATAGACCTGACCAACTTCAGTTTGACATCCTCTAAGTTCCATGGTTGAGAATTTTCGTCATAGAAATAATCTTCCTCTTTCGCTTTAGGCTTGTTGTAAACAAATTTGTTGCCAGTAATTTTAAAACCGCATATTTTAAAGACTCCTATGTAAGTTAATAATTCTAAACAAACTTGAGCGATTAATAGACCCCAAAACACATCGATTATAATCACCGGATCCCATGATTTTATGGTTTCGAAGGGGGTTTGTAGGGAATTTGTAGTGATTCTATAGAATAGTATGCAGGCTGCGGCTATGGTGGTTATGGCTGAGTGCATTTGCATGTAATTGTTCATGTACCGGACGTTCCATAGACATATTGCTAGAGTTAGAACAGTACCTGTGATAAAGTATGATTAAATTACTGTTTAGAATGTTATTATTTAAAATTTAAATTACTTATATAATATTAAAAAAAAATATATATTTAAAAAATATATTATCACCGAAAATTTGTAAGATAATACATAATATGTTATATTAAAAAGTCATTACTGTTATAAAATATTATTAATAGTTTTTCAAAATAAAACTTAATTACTGCACTACTACAACTATAAGCGCGGACGCGTTTAGTACAAAATATAAAAAAAATGCTGTACTAAAGCATTTCAAACCGTATGTGTTACAAAGATTCAAGTGAAGAAACAAGATACAAGTTTTGTTTAATTTTGAAAGATTAAATATCTAGTACCTGGGAGACCGAGCTTCCCTCAGAGTTCTTTTTTATTATATCGTATTTTTTAGAAAAAAATACCAAAGACTTGAATAAACAAAAAAGAAACAAAGATAAAAACTTTGTATCAGACCGGGATTCGAACCCGGAATCCTGTGATTCTCAATCTTGTACCTTGGCCGCTCGACTACGGCGCATACAACAACGCGTGCGAAATTAGCGACCATATTTTGCGCGGAATAATGCGAAAGAAAACCGCATGAAAACTCAAAAAACACACGTTTTCCTAAACATAAGACTAATCTAGATCGATTTTTCGCCCCCGAAAACCACCACATACCAAGTTTCAGCGAAATCGTTAGAGCTGTTTCCGAGATCGCTGGTATAAATAAATAAACAAAAATTGCTCGTTTAAATGAAAGATTAAAAATACCTATTACAATATGAGCTTCCAAATAGATAGAATTTTCTGGTGCGTTGAGCCAGTCCGCCGTATCGGGGAGGAACATCCAACGGTCCCCTGTCTGGTTCATTGTTCTCAGATACCTAAAAAAATATAGTTATGTAGATGGCGCTAGTTGTTCTCTAAATCGAGTTGTCTTAAGTTTGTGGTCATTATAAATAAGGTGATTAGAAGTTCTGTCATTACTATTAGAGTTCAAATTGAGTTAAATATACGAGGTGTTATCAACGAGTAGTATTTAATTTAAACAATAATTATAAACTCACTATATAAAAAAGTCAAAGAACCCTAAGCCATTTTAAAAAATTATAAAGCTGAATACTTGCGCGTAGCTTCTTTTTGACGAAATGAACAACTTTTTCTTCTACGAAAATTATTAATAGAGGGTACACGTGGAAAATATTTCGGTGTTCATCCACGTATAAATATTAATTTAAAAAGATGCGAAAATTTTGATACGTCAAAAATGTTAAGTCTCTCCCGCACCATGATTGATTTAAAGCATTTGAAATATCGGAAACCAAAAATCTAAATAAATCGAGAACCAAATATTCGCGTGAATCAGAGAAAGTATTTTAAGAAACCAAAAGAAAAGAATAAAATTAAACATATACATTATAATATAAATACAAAACAATTATCCAAACTCACCTATGCAAAGCAATCAACAGAACCCACTGCGGCACAACACTCACACCGACCAAACTCATCTTATTCTCTAACTCCGGCTTCTCTTGGAACTCCGTCGCACCACTCAATCTCTTTGTAAAGTACATAACGACCACCACAATCGTTCTTATTAGCACAAAAAACATCAATGTATTCCAGAAATAGTACCATGTCATATGTTCTTCTTCTATGAAACTTGTACCAAAGAAGGACCAAGAGTGGAACAAAGTCCCACATATCAGCAAATAATCTATTGCGTTTAAATCGCGTAATGTTGATAGATCTTTGATCCTCTCTATACCGGTTTTTATGGTAAAATATGCCAAGGTCATGATGAAGGAAACTGTTAGAAATATTATACACCATTCGGGTTTGAAGGAACAGAATTCGCTTTTGGTTTCTGATAAAAAGCACGATGTGGCGACGATGCTAGATATTATGGAGTACATAATGGCGAAGGCGAGTAGAGTGCCGGCCTTGGGCTTGTGTAGTTTTGTGACACTTATCTTCCTTAAAGGCTCTGGTTGCAGGGAAAACAGGGTAGTGCAGGCTAGCGCGCCTACTAGCTGGAAAGGCAATTGGTTTTTGTTTTAATTCAAGATTTTTTTTTCTAAGTTTTATTGAATACATTATCATTAATTTCTGGTTAAAAAATATTTTTCTTTAGAAATTATTTAAAGTGTAAAATTTTAACCAAATTACTGTAAACTAGTAAGTTCTGGATCAATATCCTATCTTTTTTTTTGACATAGATTAACTTTTTTTTAGGTTATCTTTATAAAATCAAGTGGTCATTGAGGCGCATGAAGTAGTTGTAAGAGCCTGAACGAAATATGGATGTACGTACAAAATATATATTTTTGTAAAATCCTAATAATACATATTTGATTAGTAAATTCTATTACGTTTTTAAAACACAAATTGAACTACATATCAAAATACTAAAGTGGTCTGTTCAAATCACCTTACGCAAGATAAATCTCGTTCTAAAATTTATATCAATGCACCAAATTTTCATTAATATTAAATATTAGTTACTGTCCGTCCATCACTCCAATTATGCTGCCCTATGTTTAGGATTTATAGATAGGTTTAGAGAAGCTACAAAAAAACCTGTAGATTAATAAACTTACAAGGTAAAGCAAAACCGTGGCAAGCACTATAGCGTACAGGTCAAAGTCCGTGGTAGTCTCTGTGAGGTACTTGGCCATCTCCGCCAGGGCCTCTTCATAGAACTCCTTGGATATCTTTGCGGCGCTCTCCTGCCCCGTGGCCAGGTAGTGTGCGAACTGGATGCGAGCTCGTTCTATTTGTTTGTATAGTTCTGGGAATGCATATTTGTTTTTGGTTCAAATAATATATTTTTTTAACAATTTCTTCGTAATTGGAACTTGTGTGAGTATGCGATGAGTAGGTCGTTTTTATTAAAATATTAGTAGTGAAAAAAAAATTTATTTCATTTAGAAATTCAGTTTTTTGTTTTTTTTTAATAAACCATATAACCTTCAAATTTGATATTATATCGGGCTATTTGCTACACTTTTACGCTGGACGAATTTGGATTTAGAACACAACCAACAAATGAAAGTAGAAGACTTAATGACCTATATATAGGTCATATTCAGTAACACACATTATTTATCACCTAAGGATTCATAAAACTTAAAAACTAAATAAAGCTGAAGTAAGTGACTAGTGACGGTTGACGGTACCTGCGTGCTCCGGCAAGTACCGCTTGTTCCGCTCGGCGAGCACGTGCAGCAGGTACAGGTGCTGCGTGGGGTCCTGCGGCAGCAGCGCGGGTAGCACGCGGCCGGCGCTGTCGCCAGGCGGCGGCGCGCCCAGCAGCCACGCCAGCGTGGGCGCCACGTCCGTCTGCGCCACGCTCGGGCCCGGCCCCGCCCTGCCCGCGGGGAGTGGGGTTAAGCGGACCCGAGACGATCAATCGCAATTTTCAATTGCGATTGATCGTTTATAAGTACAATTGAAGCGATTGTCAATCGCAGTTACGTGATAGAAAGCGATTGATGGAAAATTTCGATTGATGCTCATTGACAGGAGTAATTGAAGTTGCCAATTGATAGTTTACTTTATATATGTAGCAATATACTCTATGTCGTTTACTGAGACATTGACTATTGTTTCCGTCATTCGCGCGTCTGACAGCAGTGACAACAATAAACAAACTACTCGAAGCCACGAAATAAAACAATAAAATAAAATAATTAATACTTAAAAACTTTGAATTACAAGCATCGCGGATACCCCACGTAATGTTGCGGACCGTGAATTTATTTCACTTTTAATATCTTTATATCAAGATCGCCTAAAAAAAAATTTTTTTTTATGATTTAGCATTAAAAAATACATAAAATCCTAAATTTTCATGTTTTTCAATTTCTTTTCTAGTTATTATATTAGAATGATAGTTATTATTGTTGAGATGATTTCAGGATAAACTAACTATACTAAATACTTACGGATAGGGACATTTGAAGTTATTGCTCTTGACCAGAACAAGGGGTACTAGTACTTCAGCGGGCGTGGCCCCCCCGTGCCCGCCTGCATCCCTCATCCCGTGGTCTCCACAGATGATAAGAACACCATCCCTGTCCTGGAACATTTATAATGTAGTTTAATATTAGAACCTATATTACTTAATAGTTATGGCCTTCCTTTTTAACGGTGTAAATATTTTACTTTCAAGCCGTATCTACATGTAGCAGATTCTGAATTCGAGTCCCAGAGATCCTGTTTCGAATTCGGGCTGGGTTTTTTTAACAAAAATTTCTCAGTAAGAGTCCGGAGTTGGGAAGTTCGCGATGTTGGCACGTAAGGCCAGCGTAGTATATAGGGAAGGAAGGAATAAATAGTGCGTCGAATCGGTCAGAAGGACATTATTATTAGTCTGTCTTGAAAGTTTAAAATATATTTAAATAATTTGAAAAAAACTATTGATCTCACCCATGTTTGCATAGCAGTGTATATATTTTTGATAACTTCATCCATTTCCAAAAGTTTCGGTTTTATTTTGGGGCTTTTAGCGCCCTCTAAATGGCCAATGTGATCAAGTCCCAGGTAGTGCAACACGAGGAAATCAAATATAGGTTTCCTATTTTCATCTGGAGTCAGCGTTTTATTGAGATGACGTGTTACGTTGGTATCTACCTGAAAGCAATTTCGATTAAATAAAGAGGACAATAGAGTCCAACTAAAATCTTGTTAATATTATAATTACAGCCTGAGGTCTCATCACGAACAAATAAAAATTAGTTCAAATAAATGTCAACAGATGACGTTACATGTATCAATTTGTTATGTAAGTTGTGTAAAAGTAATCAAAAATAAAAAATAAATCCTAAAAAGGTATATTTAAAAAAAAAATATTCTAAGTGAAGTGAAACGATATAATGCGCCCGTAAATATAGTCCGAAGAATAGCCCGAATTAGCGCTGTCAAATTTCTTTGTATGAGGTGAGGCATCTCAGTAAGGTGAGGTAATAGTATTATGTGATCTGTAATTACAGTTTATCCTTCTTCTAAAGATCAACTTTATTTTGAGCTAACCTTGCTTTTATTAGCTACCCTTTAACTATGTTATAAAATATTGGAAGTTGATTTTAAACCTACACGGTATTCTATCAATTTAAAATCGATTCCGACCAATAAAACCTTCGCGTAATTTTTTTAATGATGATTTTGTAACACATGTTTATGAAAAGATGCCGTAGGATGATCAATTAAAGAAAGTAATAAGCACTTTTTATATACATATATATGTTTATATTTTCATAGATGTTGATTCAAATTTGTGAGGATAGCTAAAGTCTAGTTTAGTAAGATTAGGACGATAAGATCAAATCATGTTTAGTCAATTTAGCGAATTCTTAGAAATTAGTCATTCTTTGATTAGAAGTCTTTGAAATTTTTATAGTAGTATAATATTCTGTTAATAATGACATTAACACATTAAGGTTCGATCCACACTTATAGTACCGATCATGGTTCGCTCTCAGTCCCATTTTCAGTCTGGTAAATGAATACAAGAAGCAATGAATTATTGAATGCATTCACACTAGAGTCAAATCACACTCCAGCAAAGTTTCTTGTATAATAAACTTAACTGTGTTCGGTACTATAGTGTGGAGGGGCCCCAAAAAGTAAAAATAATCAGGTATTCTCGAAGTCGGCATTAGCTGATAATTTTATGAGACCACCTCGGGACCTACCATAATAAAATACAATTGTAAGTTGCAAAATCGGCCAAGCCGTTTCCGAGAAATTGATGAACATACTTAAAAAAGTACATACAAATGAACATAGTAATACTCCTCTTTGGAATTCCTCTATATAAAAAATATACGTATTACCGAAATATGTAAAATTTTATGGAATTTAATCAAGATATTTCGAGACTAAAAGTTAGGTTCAAAACGTTTGTGTAAAGTTGAGGTTTTTTTTCTGTATTGGTTTATAGTTTTGAGGTATTATATAAATTGAATAAAAGATTATAAATTATAATATAAACCGGATACATTTGGAATAAAATGAGTTTTGAATTATAACGTACCTCAGTATAATCTGTGACGAAAAACGAAGTAGTGCCATCAGCCTCCGCCCACAGTCCAGGGAAGAGTCTGAGCCAAGTGTCATCACCATACAATATTGACTTCTTTCCAATAGACTTGGCGACCCTTAACACACTATCCCCAGTAACGGCGGGCGCCCCAAAGTTTAAAGCGACGTCAGCAAACGTCGATACCGTACCAGTCATCATTGCCTGTTTAAAAAAAAACAATAAATAACTATCCCATAAGAATTTATATTTTCACACGTGCTAAATAAATTACAAATGCCTTAAATAGTTAGTTTTTAATGCTCTATATACATTATAGTGTAGAAGCTATTTGGAACTAATGGTGTATGAACTGATTTAGATGAAATTTGGTAAGAAGATAGTTTGAGACCCGGGAAAGGACAAAGGATACTTTTTATCCCAGAAATCATCCTTTAAGGGGGTGAACATAGGGATGAAAGTTTGTATGGGGAATCAACCTAGGAACGAACCCGAGCGAAGTGAGGGTGAGTCGCTAGTTTGTTATAAAACCAATCAATTTATATTGTATTTGATCATTTTGTTTAACTTTCATGCATAAATTCGATAATTAGAATTTCTTATGCATAAATTTATTTCACTAGTGACACCACTCTATGTTATGTACATACATGCAAAATTGCTCAATTTTATTATTACACTTAGAAATTGAAACTAGGAAGTGCCAATGATAAGTGAAGCATAACTCTGTGATGTTTGAAATCAATCCAAGCTAAGGACAAAACAAGTTTTACATAAGGCCTTTCTACTTCCTAGCTTCAATATTAATATTAAATAAATAATTTTTATATATACACCATATTATTAGTAACAATTAAAATGGTATTAACAAAGCATTTCACACACTGTTAATTACTAACTTCCACAAATATACCCAATAAAGTTAATAATTGCATATAAATTAGTACATTACTAAATACTGACACACTTAACAACACATTAGACTGATTGCACGGTGTAAAACTATTTGAAATGGATAAAGGTGGAACATTATCTATACTAATATTAAAAAAAAAGAAAATATTGATTTTTTGTTTGTTTGTACCGAATAGGCTCCTAAACTACTGAACCGATTTAGATGAAATTTGGTAAGAAGATAGTTTGAGACCCTGGGTAGGACATAGGATACTTTTTATCCCGGAAATCATCCCTAAGGGAGTGAAAATGGGGATGAAAGTTTCTATGGAGAATCAACCTACGGACCAACACGAGCGAAGCGAGGATGAGTCGCTGGTTTAAAATAACAATATGAAAAAAAGATACATGCATAGTAGAACATAATTGAAATTGTATTTCCTCTCTTCTACTATCAATTTTAGATTTTAAGAGGTCAAATAAATATGTGATAAATGTCTTCATTTTACTAATTAATATATTATAGCTACTACCAAATTAAAAATAAAAGCTTGTAATATTTTTTATTTTTATCGATATAAAATACGTATTGAGTATATATAGAAATACCGATATAAATATCTTTAATATAGAACACCTTATTATAAAAATCGCGATAAAAATGTTTACATCGCGAATTATTGTTCATTTATCTATCCAGTAAGTCCCTGAATTTTTTCATTTTTTAAATTTTATATTTAATATGTTAAAATAGTCTTTATTGATATAGGCGTGGCTTGCGCAAGCCAGAGCACGTTTTCGGCTGTATATTCATTCCTCTGGGAAAATTATAAATATTGATCCTACAGTTCCGGGAGTCGACAGTTTTTTTAGGAAATTTCCTCCTCTTTTTAGATTTGTAAAATTTCAATTAGTTTTTGAGATATTTGCAAACAACTAAACTACCTTTTTTTAGTTAATTGTTTATAACTTTTGCAATGTTTGTAACATGGCATTCATGATGCCATTTGGAATCGAATGACATCTTGTTCATATTTTTCCGAGACTGCTGAAAAAAGTTGACCAAAAAGGCACTTGTTGACTAGACTAAAAAGAAGTATAACTTCAAAAAATACTAAGCATGGGTCTATTATAAATTTCTATAGAAAATAAGTCTCATTTTCTCTCTCTTCTAAATTTGTCTAAATAAACGCAATAATTGAAAAAAATTTTTTTAGGATTATATGATATGTAAACGAAAGAAAATCATGCACATGAAATATGCATCTTATTGTTATACAATTACATGTTATTACTAAATATTAGATTATTTATTTAAATCAATTTAAGATTGCATGTAACACTTATATTATGTTGTAAGACTTCTATTATTTCACAAAAAATATATATATATTTATAATCAAATATTTAGTTATACATAAAAACATAAATTACTGTCAGTGTTGCTAAATCACATCACCAAAGAAAAAACTTTTTCTTGAAATGTATAATGTATGTAGAATTAATAAATATAAATATATTAAATGTTTTTTCTTTGGGTCCAGCACCAAGCAGCACAAGCTATATAATTACAAAGTGACACTTGCAAATATATCCCGCCAGAAGTTTATGGTGCGCCTCCACTGTGCCTTTTCCTTCTTTCGTTCTGGTGACTGTGCAACATTTATTTACGAAGTAAATTAGTTTTTTTTTAACTAATATTTACTTTTTACTTAAATAATAAACACTTTAATCATGAAGAAAAAGAGAAAAGATGTAAAAAATTGTTTTTAACCCCCGACGCAAAAAGAGGGGTGTTATAAAGTTTGACGTCGATGTCTGTCTGTCTGTGGCATCGTAGCTCTCAAACGGATGACCGATTTCGATGCGGGTTTTTTCATTTGAAAGCCAGTTTCTTTGCGGTCGTTCTTAGCTATGTTTGGTTAATATTGGTCCAGTAGTGTAAGAGTATCAGCTCTTTTCCAAAATGATGTAAGGCATTTTGGCGCATGATTACTTGATTGAGGGCTACACGCTCGCCAGTGTAATCTTAAATGACAATTAATTTGCATAGGGGGTTTTTTAACTTTTTAATATTTCACACAGCAACATGTTGGTTTTTTAATAATACTTTGAGTAACAGAATAAAATAAGCTACATTTTATCCTAATATACCACCAAATAGTAGGATATTAAATGCAAAAAGTTACTTTGACTAGAATAGGACCTGTAGAGACGTAAATAATGAAGTAATTTAATAATATTGAAAAGTAATTTTCATTAATTAAAGTTTTTCTTTGGTCCTGTGATTGAGAAGGTGTAATTAGGTAAAATACTTAAAAAAGAAACTTGTATATATTTCAATAACTGACCTTAATTTTTGGCATTGTAACTGTAGGTGGTTCAGCAACACACACATAAATACATGCTAATTTATCCTTTAATAGTTGGCCCGTAAATGGCATGTTTTCTTCTGATACAAAATCATATCTCAATCCATCTATTACCATAAGTATAACACTATTTTCACCAGCAGATTTATAAACAACACCACCATCAATACTGTAAATAAAGAAATATTTAATAAAAAAAAAATAGTAACAATCAAGGAGGTTATGATCATTAGTTTGAATTTAAAATTTACAAAATTAATTTTCTTAAACTGTTCTTTTCCTCTTACCTGACACTATTAATAAAATTAGGTAGATCTTCAATTCGGCCAAATTTTCCTGTATGATATTTTAATGGAAAGAATCCATATAAAAACAGGCAAAAGGCTCCTAAGGCACTTATGAGTAGCCAGAGGGCTGTCCAACGATGCTGAAGCCATGGTAACATGGTTATTAATTTATTTTAAATAATTATAAATTGTTTATTTTGTTCTGCTACACTTCGCTACTTGCGTGGTCATTTCCAATGCAATTTACCCCACTAATATAGTTATTAAGCAACTACGTGTATTCTATAGTCTGATTGCTTTATTGGTAACATTATCAGCCTATCGGAATTAGATTGTAAGATAAACCTGATTGTAACAGCCGGTTAAAGTTTGAGTATTAATGTAAAGAAAAATTAGAATCAGAATGTTTGAATTGGATTCTCTTCAGTCTTCACAGAATATTAGGCGCAGCAAGATAGAATACAAATTTCAAGATAAATTAAAACATGATAGGATATTTTAATGCAATTTCAATTGAAGGATAGAAATTAGAAAACAACATTGCAATTTGCAATAGTAAATGACAAGTGACATTTGACATGTGGCCACTGACAGTGACAAGTGGCAACCAGTGCTACCAATAACTACCAATTTATCAATTTCCCGATAATCTAAGTCAAATACCCCAATTTGGGGACAAAAATATACCGGTTCCCCACAAATTCCTCTCAAAATAATTTAAGAAATGAAACAAGTTTTAACTATTTAAATATGTTTTTTTTATCTTTTATATTTTTTTTATTTGGTCACACTTTCTATATTCTTCTAACAAGCAAGCAAGCTCGAAATAAATATCTCAATGGTTTAAACTTGACGAATGACTCTGACATCCAGTTTTTAAAACCCTTTCCTTATTGTTATTAAAGATACTACACCTTATCCATTTGTATTTAGACGATTCATTTTAAAAATAAACGTAAAAGTATCTTAGATTACATAAAAGTCTTTTACCATTGATGACAGATTATCATTCATCATTAAAATGAAGTCGAAAATTAAATGTGGTGCAATAAAGATTATTCAAATATGATGAATCGTTTAATATCCATAAGTAATCTAAAAAATAGTTTAAATAAGTATTTGGAGTACTTGAAATTTTTCGACCCGGCCCGGACTATCGATCTAAATTCTCTGCATAATGCTAATCCCCCAATAAATCCCCAATCGACTTAAGATTCCCCACAGCTTGAGGAATTCCCAATAAGTTGGCAACGCTGCTGACAACTAATAATTTGACAGTTGTCTCTAAAGATTATCGAATTTTACAATAGATGGCGCTTTATAATATATAAGCCTGCAAGATAATATCATAGATTACTATTATCCTTTCGTATTTACTTTCTTTCTTTGTTTAAGGCTTTCTTGATTTTTAAGGTTCATGCATACGTTGTTTTTTTAAAGCGCTTTTAAGTTTATTAACGCCGAATAAGCATTAACGAGACGACGCGAGTCGTCGGCATGATTTAGGTACTAAATAAACATACCTTGCAAATTGCATTTGAATAAAATATTTTTTCCTATATTTCACATTCAAAATATGTTTTTCATAATTAATTTGTAATTTCGTAATTAATAAAACAACCTACATAACATTTTTGTAGCATACCTATTTCCCTAAAGATATTGTAATTAACCAAATTTTTTTAATTGTGTATTTTGTACTTTTTTGTAATTTAAGTACATAATTTCAATTTCATAGTTATATGCATACATAACTATGAAATACTGATCAGGGAACTTTGTATGGTATTAAAATTAATGCGTTTGATCTTCTGACTTTGATCACGAATTTTTCAGTAAGAATGCGAGGATGACAAGCCGACAGTGTGTACACTGTACGCAATACGTACACCCCTAAGCCTAAACTGTCGATATAGGTCATGTGCTTTTTCCCTCATCAGTCATGTTATGTTAGCAGCAGAATATGAGAGTTGAAGAAATACAGTCAAACACACACCCCTGTGTGTGCGCACACTTATTGCGCGCTATTATATATCCCAAGCAGTTGGCTAGTCTTACAATTAGGTTGGCTGCCGTAATCGATCGATTGGGAAAGCACACATACAATTATAATATTATAGATGACTAACGACTTAACCGGGCTCCGCTCGGGTGCGTCCGAACGTGCCACACCGTAGCCTATTTGTAAATCCAAGTCTATCTGAATTTCATCCAATATATCCATAGTCCATACTTGTATAGCACACAAATATTTTTAACACTAAAATATGTTTGTTACTTCTGTGTTCTTCACTTTATAGATGTGTAGTCAACGGATTTTATTATAGTTTAATTAAAGCATGGTTAGAGTAAAAAAATTTTTCATTCGATCTAGCAAATCTTTACGCTTTTCCAAATTATATTGTCATATTATATTTTCTGTTGTTCATGTTATATTATATTTTCTGTAAATAATTTTGAGTAATAGGTAATGACCTGTTACTCAAAATTATTTACAGAAAATATTTAACGTAGATACAACTGTGACCTTCTTCCAATTTTAAACGTATCTAATTGTATTTATTTGTTGATGAGATTTTTTGGTTATAAGTATAAACATTGTTTTGTTTGATTTATAAACTATTTTTATATGATCTAGTCTATTTAAAGACGACTAATAAATTACTGAAGTGTTATTGAAGCGTCACCGTATCGTCACGGGTACGGTGAGTAAGAATCCGGAATTTCGTTTGACAATAAGGAACTAAATTCGGATTCGGCATCATTCCGCCCACCATTCTTGGTGTTTATTCTCGAAAGAAACCTACTGTTTTAATGCATTAAATTTTTTTTCAGTCACCCAGACTGGTCATTGTTGTAGTATCCATATTTTTTGGCAAAATGGAGATAAATGTTTTAATAGTCTTAGTAGGTACTATTTAGGTAGATACGTATGCAGGTATTACTACATAGTTAGTACCTAGTTAAACAATATAGATATTATTACATTCTAATTTTGTTTAAGATTATAAACACATAAAATATACTCATGTACATACAAATACAAATTAAAAAAACTATCCTATATAAAACAAGAAAATTTCAAAAGATAATTATTATTTATAGAATGTATTTTTTCAATTGAAAAAATAATAATTAAGTTCTAACCGATACCTACGGCTGATTTGTAGGTTAGTAGATACAACAAGATTTGCTGGCGAGTACAAATAGAACTGTGGTATTGCACAAATTAACACAATATAAAATCGGTATTGGGACTTATTCTGAGACCACGGAAAGACATTTTCGATGTATGGACAAAATAAATTTTAAGTTGAGTTTAAATTTAAACTTATGCCGTATAGATTCAATTATTTTTTCTTGTCTCCTATTATATCACATCATGGTGTATCTAGCATCTTCAAGTTCAAGGTGTATTGCTGATTCATTCAGTGTGGGCCGCTGAAAAGTTCTATTTAAATCCGCCCTGAAACTCCGCACCGTAGTCTCACGAACACTACGCAGCGCGCGCCTGCAACGAATCAAATCTACAATAAAGGTACTTGTTTATTTTATTATTATTAATAAATATATATTTTTTTTGATTTTCATTTGGTTTATACAGGAAAATTTAATTGTGCTAGAAAAATTGTGATTGTTTATTTCTTTATATGTTATTTTCTGAATATTTTGCTCATTTGAAGTATTAAATATATTTTAAACTAATAGACTTTAAAACTTCTTAAACGAAGTGGCAATTTATTTTAATTAAAACAACAGTTATAAAATAAAATTCCTGGCAAATATCAACGATTACCGTATCCGTACCTATATAGATTTACATATTTAGTAGGTAGGTAATTAACATTGTTCTCTCTTTTCTAGAGTTTATAACATACCTTAAATATATAAATAAATTCAATATTATTTTCAAATGTCAATATAATAAGTTATAATTAATACTATATGTATGTTAGTTTTAAGGTATATATTATGCTATGGACATCTGTTTACATATTTAAGATCTTTATGTAAATATGGTCTTAAATAAATGATTAAAAAAATAGATATATTTTTATCCTTTACAAAAGCGAGATAATGGTCTCTTTCATTGAAATTTAGTTCAGTGTCTTGCATCAGATCTAAAAACGTCTCCAAGTGAATCGTTCGTTGAATTGTTCCAGAAATACTCAGTTTTTACTTCTTAAATAAAACTATCTTTTCGGATTTTTTCGCGAATTTATTTTGATTTTTGGTTCCCGACGTTTCGATTGCTTTACAGCAATCATGGTCACGGTATTTACTCTTATAATACAGTAATTTGTTAAAATTATATTATTTGTTTAAAAAATATAGTCAATTAACCAAACCTTAGCAGATAAAGTAGGCATACAAAGTGTTTGTTATCGTCAGAGTTAATGTACCTACCTATAATAGTAGGATGATACACGTGATTGAACAGTGAAAAAGTGTTAAATTTTCACTAGCAATAATATTACTTTCTCTAAATCTAGTCCTGGTAAAAGGTTATTCAATAACAAACAAACAAAAATATCTTCAAAATATTATGACGTCGCTTCTCGTTGTAACCGATAAAAATACTCTACACGAAAATATACGTTGTTTATCTCATTCTAAATAGAACTGTAGACTAGCCATAACTTTCACAAATTAGATCATAGGTGCATTTTGAGATTTTAACATACCTAATATCTATTTTTAAACGACATATGATATTGAGGTGTCTTTATTAGGCTTTTAAATAATATTTTAAATTCATACATTGTGCATGAGTAGTTTTTTAATTTGTTCTTGCTAATTATTATAGTTGGTTATTTATATTTTTATATTAAACTAGCATTGCCCGCGGCTCCGCCCGCGTTCAGATGACCAAAAACCAAATTCTTAGGTTTTACATATTAGTATACTCTTACATTGCAGTTTTTGTATTTTTTCTCGGAAATGAGGTATTTTCCTGCGGTAAAAAGTATCCTATATGTTGACACGGATAACCAGCTATCATCATACCAAATTTCATCAAAATCTGTCTAGTGGTTTTCTCGTGATGCGGTAACAGACGTTCAGACAAAAATTCTAAAAACTATAGTTTCGGACTATGTATCGATAATAATATCTATTTTAATTAGATTTTCCAAAAAATATTTAATGTACAGATTCGACTTAGTTACAATTTTATTATATTATTAGTACCTATAGATAAACATAGCTTGCGATGTCAGAATAGAAATGTTTTGTTAACTAAGATTTTCTTTTGTTTTGTTTTGTTTTGTATCTCTTAACGAGCTGTAGTGTTATCAATAAAAAATGATTAGGTAAGGTCGAATCTTGACCACTATACGAACGCTAGTAATTCTAATTGTACAAACATATTTCCTTTAAATAGTGTAAAAAAAAACAGTCGAATTGAGAACCTCCTCCTTTTTGAAGTCGGTTGAAAATATTATGAATGAAACCTAATTAAATTAATGATAATCATTTCGTATTTCAGATGTCGATTGTCCCTATGATTTTCCGCGACTGGTGGGATGATTGGGAGCGTCCCTCAAGGTTATTAGACCAGCACTTCGGAATGGGTCTGAAGAAGGACGAGCTTTTATCTTCCCTCTCGAGCTTTCCCTCTACTTCGCTCTTCAGGAACTCCTACTTTAGGCCCTGGAGAACGAATCTCACGAGGCAGGAGTCTGCTTCAACTATTAATCTAACCAAGGACAAATTCGAGGTAATATATGATTAGCCAATTCTGTAATAAAAACTTTTTAAGTATTTATTATTAACTATTTCATAAGACTTATAGGATGACTTATTTGTGATCCAATCAAAGGATAGGGAGTTTTTAAATGTAAGTGCAAAATTTATTCAAATAGAGCTTCTAAAATCGGCAACATTTAATTTATATTTTAGCATCGTTCAAATATTTTGATCGATGTCTTTAAGTTACTCTATTAAGTGCTAATAAAAGAAGGATAATAACAAAGAAGTTATATAATTTATTTTTATTTTTTAAAGGGTTTGTTGATTTCTTTTCAAAGAACAATTGATATTTGCAATTGAGATGTTAATTTTAAAATTACTTATTTATATTTTCAGGTGATCCTAGATGTCCAGCAATTCGCACCTGAAGAAATCACGGTTAAAGCCACCAATAACTCAGTAGTTGTTGAAGGCCAGCATGAAGAAAAGCCAGATGAACACGGCTTTATTTCCCGTCAATTCACACGTAGATATATCCTACCCACTGGGTACGAGATCACTGATCTCGTCAGCACTTTATCTTCTGATGGCGTCCTCACAATCACAGCCCCCAAACGTCCACCTCCTAACGCTGGAGAGAGAATCATCCCTATCACCAAGACTGGCCCTGCGAAGATACCTGAACCCATCAAAACAGATCAACCAAGAGAACAAACCGTTCCAATCGTAACATCCCCATAAGTGCCTTGAGATACGAAGTACGATCGAAATATAAATATGTATAAAGCATTTATTTATCCGCTGTTGGCCAACAACGGGTCGATTCGAAACGAATTAGGTTTTTTTTAAAAAAAAGTAAACATCAGTTTGTAAAATGTATAATATATTATACTTGTTATATTTTTTTGTTTCATTGGAGCTTATTAGTCTTGGAACTTAATAGTGAATCTGCAGGAGATGAGTTATGTATAGTTTGTATTATATTAGATTATAGGTATATATCGTAATTAGAATGAATTATTATATTTGTAACTGACTAGCAGAACCCGCGACTTCGCTCGCGCTAAAACTACAAAAAAATCTCTTAAATGGTAGGTTTCATACAAACTTTCATCCGCTATTTTACCCTCTTATGGGATGAATTTCGAATAATGCTAAAACACGTATATAATTAATTGTATAAAAGAGCATTTATACCAAGTTTCAAGTAATTCTGATAATAAATATTTTTTTGGATTGTATTATAACGTCCCGTCCCACGTTCCCGTGGAAAAGAGAAAATTTCCTGCGGTAAAAAGTAGCCTATGTCACTCTCCAGCCCTCCAACTATCTCCACACAAAAAATCACGCCCATCCGCCAAGCCGTTTCGACGTAAAAGAAAGACAAACAAACAAACACACTTTCACATTTATAATATTAAAGTATGGATTATAAAATATGAGTTCATGTGTTATAATTAGAATTATATTTGCTATATATAAACAAATATAGAATACTTATAACTAAAAGTAGAGTAAAAGCTTAAACCACCACTTTAGTGTGAAATGAAAATTGTATTTCAAACAAAGAAACAATCGCGAACGCAATGCCGAGATTGCATGAGACTATTCACGCCTTTATATAAAGGACCGTCGTGCATTACCGAGAAATACTTAAACATACTTCGACTCGCACTGAGCAAACCGCGACCGTACATTAATGTTTAGCAAATGCGAAATGCCACAGAAAGCAATAAGAAAACACGTCCCACAACCAAACTGCAAATAATGAATAATAATTCTTTTACTAGTTAATGTAAACCACGTGTAGATGTAAAAATGTCAGACTGACAGACTTTCTATAATTCAAAGTAACTTAGTCTAGAAAGCAGTAAAGAGGTGTTTGACTAATTTAATTTTCGCGCTGACTCGCACTGTTCAATAATATTGTTAATTTATCATTGTCTTTTAGGGTTGGGAGAAGCGGAATGTTGATGACCCTTAATACTAGTTAGGTACGGTTTATATTAAAGTTAAAGTTGTCGTATAAGTTGATGCTTAAATATCCAGTTAACTGTTAAATAATTATAAAAAGGATTGAACGTTTTGCTTATATCATAAGTCACATTATTTTCAATACGACTATGCAGGTATTATATGAATTCAATCGACTTTTTAAAAGCATCCGGTGTAAAGTGTGAAAAATAGCAATATTATCGGTAATTAAGAATTTATTTGTTTTGTTCTGGTATTTCATTTTATTATTTTGAATAGAGAAAATGTTATCATTTTAAAAATTTACATTTACAGTGTAGATTAGATATACATATACGTAGGTAAAGTAAGCATAAAGCATGTTTGGAGTTAAGTACAATGCACGTGCTCAAGTTAAAGGTATAAGTTGTGTTGACATCAGAAATTTAAATGTTATACCAAGATGATACATAGCATTAAATTTTATCTACTTACATAATATTGAATTGGAAATCTAAGATGTTAACTTCTCTTATATGTAGAGTAGCATCGAGAACTCTATTTAGAGAGTTCTTCTTTTGCCCAAATATATAAATAATAAAATGCCCATAAAATTATTTACTAAATAAAATAAGCGCTATAAAATAAAATGTTAATTATTTTATTCCTTTATTAATCTATATGCATTTATATTTATTTATCTATACAATATACTTACATAATATAATAAAATTCTAAGTGATAGAGTCTGTGTAGTTTTTTCTTTTTTTAGTTAGTAGGTAACATTAAATATTTTTTGGAAAATCTTATTGAAATAATCATTATTATCGATACTGAGGCCGAACCTATAGTTTCTAGAGTTTTTGTCTGTGTGTCTGTCTGTATATCTGGGAACCCATCACGAGACGGATTTTGATTAAATTTGGTATGGTTATAGCTGGTTGTCCGATCAACATTTAGGATACTTTTTAGTGCGGGGAAAATATCTCATCCCTGAGAAATTTAGGTATAGGTACTAACTGTTAAAACGTACCTAGAGACGAACCCGAGCGTAGAGAGTCTAGTTAGTATATAAGTGTTATGTTGATGAATCGTAACACGCATGACATCTATCGGCACGTAACCACATTACACAACAGCGGTAGCTAATTTGTATATTAGATCTTTTGAGCGACATCTATGATGGATCCCAGGCATCACGTATTTTCTATATTAAATTAACATTAGGTATTAAATATAATGGCTGTACTTTCATTTAACTCTATAAATAATTTTGTTTCTATTTTCCCTCTCATTTTTAAATTTTGTATTAAAAGAATGAGTCATAATAAAACGCTTATGTATTCTAATATTTTCTTCACCCCTCAAGCTATATATATGGAGTGGCACCCCTATTTTTTATATTTCATACATCAATTTCTTACATGAATGTATAGCGGTTCACTAGATACAGCCTTGAACCTTGAAAATTATAGCTATGTACCACTAGTATCCGAATATAATAGCAGTGTCATAAATTTAGACGTAAAGATCGGTCAAACGAACATACTGAGTTATGAGGGTTCCGTTTTTGCTTTTTTATTATGGAACCCTAAAAATATTTGCATATATGATATTTTTAAATATTTTAGGTGTTATTATCTAGTGTACTTTGATATAATTTACTTTACCTATTTGTTTTAGGGATTTAACTATGAATAATTTGAGAAAATTTGCAGATAATAAATTGGTACACGTATAGGTACACCCTACGTAGTCACATATGTCTAGTTAGAGGCTGTAAGTTTCCAGTTATATTTCATTTATTATACAGTCTACCTATATTCTTTCTTATTTAATAACTTAAAATAAATTCTAGACATATGTATCTAAGTACCTAAGTTAAATTAAAATTGATAATAATAACTAAACCTCTAGAGTTTAGTATGACGAGTCAAGGTAGAGCAAAGTTTTCACACCTTTACCCTGCAGGATTCTTTGTTTTAGTCTAAGATCCCGATCTATGTGTTGGACTCCTTGCTCTTTTTCCAGGCTATTTTTAATCTCTGAACCTCTAGTCTGGAGATATTGTGGTGTGATAATTATATCTGGATGTCCCGTAATGTGGATTCGAAAAAGGCCGTAACGTATGATAGCATTTTCTACAAGTCTTTTACTTTGGATGGACTTGGATAACTTGTCGTAGGAAAAGAGATCATGTACTTAAAAAAAAACCAGTTTCTTTTTATTAAATATAGCCTGGAACAACCCTCTTTGGTGACAGCCCCCCTAGATCATGTTTGTTAATATATTTTATTGTTAAAAAAACCCACATAGATCGGGATCTCCTACTATTTCCTATATCACAATTTTCCCAGAACTTTACGAGAAATAAATAACTATATCAAGTTTAATAAGCCCCCATTATATAGGTAGCTATGCTACTAATGGAAATTTTACCCAAGTTTCCGTACGTACATATTTTCCGACTCCGTCGAGTCCTGTGTTTATAAGGTCCTTTGTTTCTTATGCACTTCTCGATATATTACAAATACCGACCTAGTATTAGAAATGAAGAAATGCTTAGTACCTATCTCCAAATTTTGTATGTTGAAATCAACCCTGAACAAAAGCTCTAGGATGAAACGAACAAGAATGTAAAGAAAGAGAAACAATTATTGTTGTATTTTAAATAAAACTATCTATTCGGTTGTTTTTAAAAAAGGAATAAATAAAATTGTAAAAATATTTGAAGGTAAAATATTGTAAGGTACTTTGGTGCCATTTTGCAATTTTTTGAATTTATTTTGTTAATTGTGGGTAGGCTGTCTGTAACAACCTCAGTCTCTCCCGCGACCATGATTGCTGTAAAGCATTCGAAACGTCGGGAGCCAAAAATCAAAATAAATCCGCGAAAAAATCCGATAAGATAGCTTTATTTAAAATGTCAAATATTCGCGTAATTCTGAGAAAGTATTAATTATTGTTGTAATAATATAAACCTATAGGTCCCTATATCTAAAACATTGTATATTTTAAGCCATTACTAGAAGATTGCCTTGTTTTTGTTTTTATTTATTCTGTTTACAAATTTCGCATTAGTTAATGTGCGAAATAAGAGCAGGATGGGCGCGGGTAATAGATCTCTTAGCCATGGATCATTCCGGCGGGGAGGGGGGCCATCAATCAGCCCCGAGCGATTACAGCGGGCTTGCCGCGAGTTGTGAAAGACAAGCATGTGCCTAATGCAATAAACTAAATTATGATTTTTTTTAATTTTTAGTCGACCTTTTTGCATGCACACAAGAGAAAAGCGTTCTGTGAAAAAAATACACATTTGTTGTTTAAATTGTTCAATTTAATTTTGCAATTATTTATTACCTTTTATGCTTGCTAGTTGAGACGTACTTTGAATATAACTTATCAATAAATATCTACCCACGTAACCTACCTAAAATTTGATATTTAAGTATTTAACATGCTTAAGATCTTAAAATCGGATTAAGAACTATCCATGTTCTAGTAGTTTCTTTTGAAGGCAGGCAGTAGAAGCCGAATGATAACGCACTCGCTTGGGAAACCAAGTGAAGCGGTTTCAAATCTCAGTTCTCACACCTTGGATATTTTTATATGCGAATTATTTTCCACATGATTACAACTTGTCTTACGGTGAAGTTTAACATGATGAGGAAACCTGCATGTCCGAGAGAACCTAGCAAGTTTTCGAAAGACATGTGAAGTCCGCCAACTCGCACTTGGCCAGCCTTGGAGATTATTGCCTGATTCCCCTTGTATTGAAAGAAATT